TCATTTCCTGTTATGGGAACCTTTTAACCTCCTTGGCGGTATGATTCTTTCCAATTTTTTGTGCTGAAAGCGGTACCATCTTTTTGCATGGAAATATGTAGTTTTTTATTGTAGGCTGTAATTTTTAGGAATAACTCACTGAAATCTGTACAAACAAGAGTCTATTAAACATTCCGGATATGATAAAATTTGAAACACAAAATCATAAATTAGAATTTAAAATATAATCATAAAAAATAATAATATAATAATAATAAATTTAATTCAATAATATAATCAAACCAAAAACACTGAAATTTGAAACACAGAGGCAAATTCGCACTGAGCAAAGTCGCAAAATCGTTTTCAGTGTCTGATGAGGAATTTCCCCACGAATCATCGCTCAATTCTGCAAGTGGTTCTGAATTACTATCGCTGTTCTCTAGCCAGTCTAAAACCGCTTTTGACGTAAAAGGGACGCTTTTTGGACGCCATGGACTTTTCTAAGTTTCCAGGCAGAAAGAACAGTAAAAATGCAGGCAGGGCGCCGGACAAAGCACTCGGACAAAATATATGTGAAATGCATTGAAACAGCAATGACAGCAAAAATGACATTTTTTAAAAATTTCAAATTTCCCGCCAGTTCCGGTGCCTGTACGTCCCGACGTCACAGGGACCGGAACACGGAAGCCGGATGCCGGCATCGGCCGAAGGAGATGGCTGGGGACGCTGCAGGGGACACATCGCGAGATCGAAGGACAAGGTAAGTGCTGCAGGGACCCCCAGAGCAACGCCGCATGGTAAGCCCGAGTGTAGCTCGGGGTTACCGCTTTTGGTATAGAAATTTTACCCCGAGCTACACTCGGGAATACCGCTAAGGAGGTTAAAGTGGACACAAACAATAATAAAAAAAAAAACCAAAAGTAACAAAGAATCTAACTATGACCCCATCCAAAACAAAGAGAAAAATAAAACAAAAAAAAGACTTTAGTCTGGAGAACGCTTCCCCACTGCTAATAAATTTGACAAAGATTAAATATTCACTTTTAGGGCTCATTCACACTAGTTTGGGGGCAGTAAAACCACACAATCGAGCTGCAGAGGCAGTGGCCGAGGGTGCACACATGTGCAACAGGAATTATGTCCCGTGACCTATTCAGGTTAATGGGAAGTTCTGCACTTGCCCCATAACCACATGGCGTTAAAGAGGTAATCTAGGCATTGAGGAGGCCTCCTTAACTACCGTCAAATGCTTCTCAGACAGCAAAGCTATTGTGAATGAGCCTTTAAGCTACTTCAGAGTTACAGTAGGCAATTTGTATTTACACTGAATCCATAGGATTTTACTATCTCCCCAGTAATAAGGTTTTTTTTTTTTTTTTTTTTTTTTTTTAAAAAGTCAAATTGTTTCCTGATTATTTCTGGAAGCAGAGACTGACAACCAGAGAACAGACACAGAAGAGAGCCTGACCTTGTACTATAGAAGGCGGTGCTATCTCTGGCTTTCTGCCTTCAACCTCTTCTCTGGGCGACGGAGAATCCTCATCGCTCTCCTCTTCCGAAGACGAAGACTTCTCAGAGGAATCAGCAAATATGGCTTTAAATAAATCTATTGGAGGTCTTGTCTCTTCTTCTTCTGCATCCTGTTCCACCTGGCTCTGGAGGACCCAAAGAATATAAATGAGTGACAAAATCTGTACGAGAACTGAACCAAAGTTAAATCTAGCCATTATTTCTCATATGATTTCTACAGTAACACATCAGCCAAAGTGATATTCCAGTTATAACTGGATAATATAACTGATAATCCACCCTATGCAAAAAAAAATGCGGCAACATCGGTCTCATAGGTTTTGGGCATTTACCAATTTTTTTCTCCAGTGAAGTGTACAGAGGCACAAGACTTTGTAAGAGCCAGTGCATTGTGCCTGGGGAAAGAGGAGGGAGAGGGAGGAGGAATCCCCAACACTGTGCATAGTCCCTCTTCCGCAGAGGTAGATGGGAATTGTAGTAAATGGTTGGTTGGAATTGGTTGTGGCCAGCTCAGTGGATTGCTTCAAAAAAGTCCTGGATTCTTTCTTGGATACACAGAATAAAAACTGGATACTAACATTTATAGGGAAAGTTGATCCAGGGAATATCCGATTGCCTCTCGAGGGATCAGGAAGGAATTTTTTTTCCCAGCAAGAGCAAATTGGATCATGCTTTGCTGGGTTTTTTTGCCTTCCTCTGGATCAACTGTGGGAATAGGATTATAACTTTTTTTTTTCTATGGTTGAACTGGATGGACTTTGGTCTTTTTTTTAGCCAGACTAACTCTGTAACTGTTTACATTCCTGGATTGCGGCTATGAGGGTCATGGGGTGGTTTAACCACTTGCCATATGACAGCTACACTGCGACCGGCCAGCTCTGGGAGGGGGTCATAAGACGTTCACCCGTGATTCAGCTTCTCAAGACATCTACATGCTCTCTTCAATTCACAATGACACCCACATGCAAATCACCAGAAGAAAATGGCACAATCCAAAAACCAGAATGTGTCGACGATTATAAGTTGTTCATGGGGAGAGTCGACTTTAATGATCAGATGATCCAACACTACCTTGCTGTAAGAAGAACCCACCATTGGTACAAAAAAGTCTCCATTTATTTTTTTTCAATTTGGCCATTTATAATACATATGTGATCTACTGCAAATCCATGTAATGGATGTCCCTAGAACACCTGATGGTGCTCCTTGCGTAATGGGCCTCTCTATGTGGCCAGGCTGTAGAAAAGTCTCACACATGTGGTATCACCATACTCAGGAGGAGTAGCAGAATGTATTTTGGGGTGTATTTTTTTGGGGGTATTTACATGTTATGTGTTAGAAATATCTACAAAATACATTTTTCATTTTTTTTTCCCACATATTCCGAAAACGTTTGGCAATAAATGTCATGTTCAAAAGACTCATTATGCCTCAAAGAATATACGGTGGTGCTCCTTGTATGTTGGGCCTCTCTGTGTGGCCAAGCTGTGGAAAAGTCTCACATGTGGTATCACCATAATCAGAAGGAGTAACAAAATGTGTTTTGGGGTGTATTTGCAAGTATGCCTGTGCTGTGCGTGAACTGAAGTATACATTTCTAATATTTTCCTCTCATGGTTTCTTTTTTTCATCCTCATCAACATTTTTAAAATAAATAAAAACCTTTACTATTTTTTTTTTTGAGTTTTGATAACTTTTTGTAGCTCGAGTTTGGACATCACTGGGTCACTGTGCTGTCTATGCAATGGCAATGCAGGCAGGTCATAGCTGGTGAGAGGGGCGGGAGGGTGCTCTACACAGCCTCCTGAAAAGATCACAGCACCCTACCGTCAGCCATGATGCAAGCAGTGGGCTGGCTCCTGGGAGTAGTTCACCCACACATGATGCTGAGCCTCCATGACAGAGAGAACTGAAATCCAATGAAAGATAGGGGCAGGCCAGGGAGAGTGAGGCTGGAAAGGAAAGGGCTAGATAGAACCCACCTCATTTCCTGGCTGGAGGATATCTGACTTGCTGCAATTTATAGTGCACATTGTGAGTGAGACACACATTGCTCAATGAAATGAGAGTAAACCATTTCAGTACAGAAGGAGAAGAGCCGGTACAACTGTGTAAGACTGAACAGAAGGCTGGAAGTTCAGCTTTAAAGTGTAAACCCAGGACCCCGCATTCACTAGATCAGCTCTCCTGGACCCTGCATTCACTAGATCAGCTCTCCCCGGACCCTGCATTCACTATATCCGCTCTCCCCAGGACCCTGCATTCACTATATCTGGTCTCCCCAGACCCTGCATTCAATATATCCGCTCTCCCCAGACCCCGCATTCACTAGATCCGCTCTCCCCCGGATACTGCATTCACTATATCCGCTCTCCCCGGACCCTGCATTCACTATATCCGCTCTCCCCGGACCCTGTATTCACTGTATACAGTCTCCCCGGACCCTGCATTCACTATATCCTCTCTCCCCGGACCCTGCATTCACTATATCTGGTCTCCCCGGACCCTGCATTCACTGTATCTGCTCTCCCCGGAACCTGCATTCACTATATCTGGTCTCCCCCGGACCCTGCATTCACTATATCTGGTCTCCCCAGACCCTGCATTCACTATATCTGGTCTCCCCGGACCCTGCATTCACTATATCTGGTCTCCCCGACCCTGCATTCACTGTATCTGCTCTCCCCGGAACCTGCATTCACTATATCTGGTCTCCCCGGACCCTGCATTCACTATATCTGGTCTCCCCAGACCCTGCATTCACTATATCTGGTCTCCCCGGACCCTGCATTCACTATATCTGGTCTCCCCGCACCCTGAATTCACTATATCTGGTCTCCCCGGACCCTGCATTCACTATATCTGGTCTCCCCGGACCCTGCATTCACTATATCTGGTCTCCCCAGACCCTGCATTCACTATATCTGGTCTCCCCGGACCCTGCATTCACTATATCTGGTCTCCCCGCACCCTGAATTCACTATATCTGGTCTCCCCGGACCCTGCATTCACTATATCTGGTCTCCCCGCACCCTGAATTCACTATATCTGGTCTCCCCGCACCCTGCATTCACTATATTTGACCTCCCACAGTACACAGCACATGGAATGCAATTATTTTAGTAAATATAAACTGCTAAATACCTTTTCTCATCAGCAGGTATAACAGTCATGTGACTTTTATTAGTGTCCAGCAGAGCACATGTTAAAGCTTGTAGGAGGAGTTTTCATTCTCCTGTAGGAGTATGCAGGACCCCTGACCACTGCTGATTGGCACGTCAGCAGTGACGATCAGAGAATTTAGGATCAAACAGCCTTTTTACATAATGCAGAGGATTAACCCCTTAGGTCCCACACTGAGTATAACAAGCATGCTTTACTACATATACAGGCTGATTGTACTGCTGTGGGATTAGTAACACTTTAACTCCCAACCATTAACCAATTCTGAAATATGAGTTCTAAGTAGACATATCCTTTAAATCCTCCTACTGTCTGTATTTGTATCTTATGAAAAAAATTAAACAGATTATCCCATAAATAAATACATTTCTGATCAAATGATTTTTTAAATTAAAATAACAAGACATTATCAAGATCCAAACCTGGCTGGAGGTAGTTGCCGAGACAGGAGAAGGCGCTCTCTTCTCCTTCCCTTCTTCCTTTTCCTCCTTCACCTCGCTGCGTGCCTGGCTGAGGAACGTGCTCAGAGGGTCCTTCTTCTCCACTGCTGAGGACACATCCCACCTGGAGGACTTCTTCTGCCCTGAAATATGTTATAATAGTATTAAACCCTCAGGTTTTCCATAATGTTTCTGTGTAGATTTACTCCATTACCTGAACTGTCATATTTGTATCCTTCCATAGACTGAATCTATTTACATATTGATCACTGTGGTATCCATCTCCAAGCTGCTTCCCTGAACCTCTGGTAGGAGAATGCACACGGTGAACATCAGGCAGTCAATAACTGAATACATGCGTTGGGATTACATGTCACATAATCCCTTTGTGCCGTTCTCATACAGTGCATATGTGTCCACCTAGACTATGTTTAACCCCTTCTTGTCCGCCTCGGAGTCCCTTTAAACAATTTGAGAACACTTGAGAGATGGAACGATCATGCCACCACTCTCGCAGTGGTCACATGATCGGAAGCCAGTCCTGTCGGCTACTGTAGCCCAGACAGTATGGTACAGCTTAGTCTTTGGGAGCAAACCGCACATTGAACACGCTCAGCACATAAGACAACGGCCACCCAGGAAAGCATATGTGCAGCATGTCGGATTAAAAGCCACCGTTTGCCACCACATGTAGGGTGTTTATAAAGGGGTTAAAGAGGAACTCTACCCCTCTGGGGTTAATTATGACCCTTTCAAACCTTGTCTGCTGGGTTGAGCCATAATTTCACATTTGCTCATCCTAGGACTCCAGTATTGTCCAACAGTACCCCACCGCATACAGAGTCCCGTGCCGCCATCTTGTCAGTGACATCAGGTGCCTGGCTGTCTTCCTGATCCTAGTAGCCGGCCTCCTTCTGACACTGCACTGTGCAATGTGTTCTACATTTTTTCAGGTACTTATATAGCGCTGTCAATTTACGCAGCGCTTTACATATATATTGTACATTCACATCAGTCCCTAACCCTCAAGGGGCGTACAATCTAAGGTCCCTAACTCACATTCATACATACACATACTAGGACCAATTTAGACAGGAGCCAATTGACCTACCAGCATGTATTTGGAGTGTGGAAGGAAACCGGAGTACCCGGAGGAAACCCACACAGGCACAGGGAGAACATGCAAACTCCAGGCAAGTGGTGCCATGGTTGGGATACGAACCAACAACCTGAGTACTGCGAGGTGGAAGTGCTAACCATTTAGCTGCCCTGCACTGTGCTGCCCATATCGCTAAAGGGATGCACAACGTGACTATTCCAGGATGCTTCTGGTGTTGGGGGGGGGAGGGGGGTTGATGTAGGTCATTCTTGCCTAGATAAGAAATGCGAAAGGGCTCAAAATTGATATTTCTCTCTCCCACCCACCAATCACAAAAAAGGGCAAGTTGCTAAAAGGAGGGAACAAGATGGAAGGAAGAGGAAATAGTGAGTGAATGTCATCTATAAAGAATACATGCAGGGAAATGACCTTTGGCCTTTACAACCACTGTAAAGAACAAGGAAGGACGATGATGATGAAAACAGCAATTTATTCGTCTAATGACACTTTGAATCATAAGGTGACTATGAAAAAAAAAAACAAAAACAAAAGATATCAGATATTAGGCCACTCTGCTGCCATGCTGTATAATCAGGGAAGCCTATCCTGCCCTCAGCTAATACTGGAATCCTCTACTCTTCCAACCACTCCATCCCACACAGTTACTACCTTTTGTACCACTAACCCCTCCCTCCTAGATTGTAAGCTCCCAGGATCAGGGCCCTCAAAACCCTCTTGTATCAAACTGTATTGTTGCTGTATTGTCTCCCGCTATAATGTAAAGTTCTGAGCAAACTGTTGGCGCCATAAATCCTGTATAATAATCTTCAATACATTTCAGTTTCAGTGGATTTACACTGATCATTGACCACCAGAGGGCTGCACAACCTCGCGTCTATTCAAGAGGTAATATGTTACATGTTCAGTGTGTGAGGCTGTGGACTATTGTCACTGGGATGAGAAATGCAAAACATCCGCAATGAGCTAGAGGCAAGGCAAAAAGGCATCTGAATCAGCCAATCTGTACAGGCGGCCTACATTGAGACTTGCTAGTAATAGAACCTGAACTGTCAATTCAACAGGAAGCTTGGATATCCCATAGTAAACATACATAAAAGATAGTACTGATCCAGGTAGTCTTACAGTTCATCCACTGGACACAGCTGCACATCCATTGGGATCCACTCCTCCCCTAAGTATCTAGATACAAATAAACAGGCTGCATACTGCTTCTTTTCTTGATATCCAACAACCTTTATTGCCCATAGTGGAAACGTACAAAGCTGGACTGTGGCACATCACTCTCCATGAAACCACCGAGTGCAGCTCGCTCAATTATACCATGTAGCCAGTTCATTTATACTTATGCAGGCCACAGACGGGTCGAAAACTGGCCGGTTTTTTTTTTTTATAATCTTTATAATCGTCTGTTTGATCATCCGACGTTACCACCAATAATAGAAAAAAAAAAAAAAAAAAAAAACGGCCGATTTTCGTCCCGTCTACGGCCGTCATTTAATTACTTCTGTCCCTTGCAGAGAGCTCCTCTATTATATTTGACATGAAAAAGTATTGTGGTTGCAGCAATGTATCCATTTTGGATGCAAATAGATACATTGTTGCAACCGTAAGACTTTTCATATAAAATCCTCCTCTCCCGCAAGCGCGAGTAGCGCTGCGCTTCATGAATGGTCCTGTAGTCTTCTGGGACCTGTCACGTGTCCCAAAAAACTACAGGGAGGGAGGACACCTTCCGATCGGACCAGAAGTGGGAGCGGGGTACCTGTCAAATTCGGGTACCTGCTTCCCCCCCTGCCCCCCAAAGGTGCCAATCCTTAAAGGGGAGTGGGGGAGCAGTCCTTAAAGCGGAACTTCCCCTTTTGGGTGGAGCTCCGCTTTAATTCACTAATCTTTGTTGTGGACCCTCTTAATGCTTAAAGCTGCCATGACTTGCTTTACTATGTCTGGTAACAAAGTATAGGAAAATCACCATTAAATTAAACATCTCCACCCACTGTTGTGGTAACTACCAGATAGAGAGCTGCCTGGTTTTAGGAACAAAATGGATTTTTAAACAGTGGTGTGTTATGACCCTCTTACTGTTGTCTGATGTCTCTGGGGCTCTCTCTGGTATCATTGCACGGGTCGTCGTTGGCTGTGGTTCAGGAATTGTCAGGAAATTGAACACAGAATATTTGTCTCTCTTCACTTTGGGGAGCCCAATCAAAGTGGATCTAAAATGCAAAAAAATCAGTCAGTGGAGATGAGTAACACAGAGTCAGTGCAGTTTTTTTATTTTTAAAAAATGATGCATGCTGCAGTTTGGCTGCACTCACTCGTTCTTTTTCCCCTATAAAGACAGTAAAGCAGCTTAACAATTGCCTTCGGTTGTCACGTAACCCAATTTCGCACTGTTGCTGCTTCCTTGCTGGCATCAGACGAGCAATCCAGCTGAGTGGAACAACTCGCCAGTGATAGAATCGCTAAGAACCCCCTTCACACTAATGCACAAACTACAGTGTGGTGCCATTGATTTAGAATGACACCCCAATGCTCTATTGCACTAGCACCTGCACTTTGCTGCCTCACAATGCCCATGCTGTGCGTTGTTACAAAAAAAGGGTCATGCCTGTTTTTTTTTATTTGTGATAAGGTGCACTGCGATCCCATTCAAAATGAATGGGCCACCGTACTGCAAGGTAATGTAGGTGCACTAATGAATCGCAGCGTATGAAGAGGGTCACTAACCTCTTCCTGTGGAGTCATTCTTTCATTAGGCAAACCAGTGGCATGTCAATCCTTGCTAGCAAAATTCTGTAGTATTCTGGTCTAGGAACGGAGAAACTTTAGGGGATGAAGTTCTTAGTACAACCAAAACACCATTGATGGAATCCTCCTCTGACTGACATGGCCCTCAGGAATAACAGAGGTACTGCTGCAAAGTGTCATCAGTGACAAAATCACCTGTGTGACCCAGGCCTATGACACAACCCACACATGATCTGTTTTTTGTAGCATTTAAAGCTGAAGTTCAATCTGCATATATTTTGTTTTCTCTGGTTCCTCCCTCCCCTCCTCATCAACATGCTAATATGTTTAAACAAAACCCTTCCATTTTCATGCCATACTTTATTTTAGTATTTATGCCGGCCATAGACAGGTTGAAAATCAGCTGATTTTTCAGCCGGAAAAAAAAAAAAAAATTGGCCGATTTTCGCACTGTTTGTGGGTTAATTTTTTCCCGGCAATGATGGGCAAATCGACCGATGATTTTACCAATTAAAAAAAATCAGCGCATGAGCCGTGACCTGGGGGGGAGAAGAGGAAGAGGAGGAGGAAGAAGAGGAAGAGGAGGAGGAGGAAGAGCAAGAGGAAGAGGAGGAAGAGGAAGAAGAGGAGGAAGAAGAGGAAGAGGAGGAGGAAAAGGAGGAGGAAGAAGGAGGAGGAAGAGAAGAAAGAAGAAGAGGAGGAAGAGGAAGAGGAGGAAGAGGAGGAAGAGGAAGGAGGAGGAAGAGGAAGAGGAGGAAGAGGAAGAGGAGGAGGAGGAGGGAGGGGGAGGAGGAGGAGGAGGGGGGGAGGGGGGGGGGGGGAGGGGGGGAGGAGGGGGGGGGGGTAGGGGGGAGGGGGGGAGGGGGAGGAGGGGAGGGGAGGGGGAGGAGGAGGGGGAGGAGGAGGGGGGGAGGGGAGAAGAAGAAAAAGAAAAATAAGAGGAAAAAAAAAGAAGTGAAAGAAAAAGAAGAATGTACAGGTGTCACTGAACGGCGGCTCCGTTCTTCTTCCGCTATTATATTTTATATGAAAAAGTCTTGCGGTTGCAACAAATGTATCCATTTGTATCCAAATAAAAACAATGTATTTGTATTGCTGTCAGATTGTATGGTGTGCTCCCGTCTCTGTCAAACTAGTTTCTTGTCCCATTCTTTCGTGAGCATTGGTGGTAGCATCAGCAACGGCAGATTTTTTGTTTATCGGCTGACAATTCGGCCGATAAACAGCCCATCTATGGCCTGCATAAGCAATGTAATCACTGGGTCTCTAAGCTGGTAGATCATGGCTGCTGGGAGGAGCTGGCAGGGTGCTGTACTGCCTGAAAACATCACAGCCCCCTGCCTCAGAACTCCACACAAGAGCCCTCAGACATGATGCAAGCAGTGAGCTGGCTCTTCGCAGGGACTATACAAAAGTATCAAAATGACTTGATGAGTGTGCATCAGTCTTAAAGTGTTGGTGTTTCTAGACAGGATGCGTTTGCATGCAAACGCCCACAGTGATGCTGAGGCTCCACAATTGATAAAAATGAACTCAAATGAGTGAAAAGGGCACGCCAGGAAAGAGCTAGATACAGGGGCTTATTTACCACAAGGCATTTGCCTAGGGCGGCATTTTTTAGGGGGGCAGCAGTGCCCCCCAGAATGAGGAATATATGTGGCATGGGGACCAGGTGGGATCTGAGAGGGGCTGCTTGATAATGTATGCAGAGCCCAACTGTCATTCCCAGGGCTCTCTCAGGTGGCGGTAGAGGTGTTGATGGTCACTGTCAGGCTCTCTTGGGGGGGTCTGGTGTTGGTCAGTGTCAGGCTCTCTCCGTAGGGGGGGGGGTCTGGTGTTGGTCGGTGTCAGGCTCTCTCTGCCAGGGAGGGGGGCGTCCAATTTCTGTGATGCCTAGGGCAGCACAAAACCCAAATACACCATTGGCTAGATGAGGCTGGATATCCTCCAGTCAGGAAATGAGGCAGATATTATATGACTTGCTGCAGTATCTAATGCACATTGTGAGAAGCTCACAGTGTGCAGTGAAATCAGAGTAACATTTCAACACAGGAAAGGAACCTGTACAACTTTGCAAGACTGACAGAAAGTCTCGGGGGTCAGATTTAATATTTCCAGCAAGGAAAGGAAGAACGCAGACTGAGCACACAGACAACAGAACAGTGTATCAGCCTTTTTGAAAATCTATGTGTACACCTTGATAAACCTGAAAAGCAAGCTACTGTTTTAAGTAAAGGTTTCCTTTCACAGCTGACGATCAGTAAATAAATCTCAAAGCCTGTACGTGAGTGAAAGGACGATGTCACGGCGGAATGCAAGGCCTGTAACACGCGGCGTGATGACTCCTCTCCTGAATCTGGAATGGCCAAGCATGTCTGGGCCTGCACAGCTCCGCCATGAATGGCATTCCCCTGCAGCTTACCCCGGATAAGGATCAGGAATGTTGAAGCGTTTACACAGCAGTTTGTCCGGGTGCCATTCAAACCGATCTCTGGTCAGTCTCCCAAACATCTTCATTTTCACTGCTGCAGACTTGTCATTCATATCCCCCTGTGGGAGAAACAGAAAACATGTGAGGGGGGATAAAAAGACCGTCTGAAATTTTACACACCAAATACAAAAAAAGTCCATCTATACTACACAAAAACATTTTCTGCTTCATTAAAAAAAAATGTTCTAACATACCTGTATTTAACCATTAGCCGCCCGGCCTATAGTCGTTTGGCAGCCGCGCAAAAATGCTGTAGCTTTCCGGGGTGTACGCCATTTGGCGTCCTCCCGCACATGCGCAGTTCGCACGATTGCAGAGCCGCGCAGCGGCGCGATCTGTCACTGGCCGTGTACCTCGGACACGGATGATGACAGATCTGAGTATCGGCCCCCGTTGCCGGTACCATGTGACCTGCTGTGACCAATCACAGCAGGTCACATGGCAGTTGTATACAATGGATGGCTTCATTCATGCCATCCATTGCATACTAGTGCCTAGCTGTGAATGGTCACAGCAGGTCACATGCACATGTCATCACAGCTAAGCACAGAAAAAAAAAAAAAAAAACCTGAATGAATCGATATCATTCAGGTAAATGCTTGCTTATAGCAAAGTAATTCTTTGCTATAAGCAAATTGTGTAAAAAAAAAAAAAAAACGATACTGATCACTTCCCCAAAGTAATACAATGTTACTATGGTAACATTGTACTACTTTGGTCATAGTAAAATATGAAAAAAAAATCTTAAAAAAATAAAAAAAAATAAAAAATAAATATATATATTTTTTTTTTTTTCATACTGTCACCAGTCAGTGTCCCTGATCACCACCATGCCAGTTATATGATGACACTGTACTGCACTGGTGACAGTATGTAAAAAAAAAAAAAAATAGTGAAAATATTTTTTTTAATTTTTTCATTTTCTGAAAAATTATGACAAAAAAAATACAACTTCAAAAAACCCGCCATTCCGCTTATGAAGTACGTCGGACTGTCTACTCTGCAAAAAGGGGTCATTTGGGGATATCTGTACTATTCTGACATTCTTGGACCTCAAGAAATTAGATTGGCTGTCAGTACTTCAGGATTGATCAATTTTCAGATCTATACCATAGATTGTGAACTCTATAACTTTCCTACAAACTAAATAATACATCCTAATTTGGGTTATTTTCACCAAAGACATGTAGCAGAATACATCTCGGCCTAAATTTATGAAGAACAATTATTTATTTGTAAACTTTTATAACAGAAACAAAGAAAAACGTGTTTTTTTTTTCAAAATTTTTGGTATTTTTTTGTTAATTTAGCAAAAAATAAAAAACCCCAGCGGTGATTAAATACCACCAAAAGAAAGCTTTAGTTGTGTGAAGAAAATGATAACATTTTAGTTTGGGTACAATGTTGTATGACTGCGAAACTGTCATTCAAAGTGTCAGCGCTGAAACGTGAAAACTGGCCTGGGAGGGAAGGGGGAAAATTGCCCAGTATTGAAATGGTTAAAAATGATTATATAAATGTTTTTAGGCCAAACAGCTGATGCGCTGTATCCCTGACCCTGTCAGTGCGGGACGCTCTTTTCAAAATGTTATTCGTCTGTTTCCAATGCCTTTTTTATCTACTCATCTGAAGCAAGCATGTAGTTCTGAAAATTCAAAGTATGATTTGCTTACATGTTCCTGGATGACAGCCAGGCAACTAGCATGTTAGAAGCAGAGGTCAGCAGTAGCAACATTCCTATTCACTCAGTACAAAATTTCCTTTAAGAGTTACAGCCTGGTCTAACACCCACCCCTAGATTGTGAGTGAATGATAAAAGGAGTTGCAGCATGGGCAGCACAGTGGCTAAATGGTTAGCACTTCTGCCTGGCAGTACTGGGGTCGTTGGTTCAAATCCCAGCCATGGCACCACCTGCCTGGAGTTTGCATGTTCTCCCTGTGCCTGCGTGGGTTTCCTCCAGGTACTCTGGTTTCCTCTCACGCACCAAAGACATGCTGGGAGGTTAATTGGCTCCTGTCTAAATTGGCCCTAGTATGTGTATGTATGAATGTGAGTTAGGGACCTTAGATTGTACGCCCCTTGAGGGTTAGGGACCGATGTGAATGTACAATCTATATGTAAAGTGCTGTGTAAATTGACGGAGCTATGCAAGTACCTGTAATAAATAAATGTTGATCAGGTTGTCTCTGTGCCATCCTATAAGCACACCCAGTGTGAGGACTAGCAGCACTATGAAAAGCAACACTTCCTCCCTGGCTCAGACTGCAGCCTCTCCCTTTCCCTGCTTTACAGGGGATTAAAGGCGGACAACATCCAAGACATGTCCAAACACTTATAGTAGCTCTATGTAAAAATAAATATCCATTTTTATGAATACACACTGTGCTGCTTCTCTTTTCACTGATTGGTCACATGCTGTGGGCAGGTTCACGTTGACCTGAGCTCAGAAGTAGTGTGTAGAATGATGCTGACCATCAGGCTGAAGACATCTACTGACAGAAAACAGTACTGCAGTGGATTCTCTGGACTGAAGATACGCATTGGAGCAAACGTTTTGCTGAATAATCTTTAAACTGACTATTCTTTTTTTCTGTTGTTTTAGTTCAGCTTTAACTAACCATTCACATTTTTCCCTCTTAGATTGTAAGCTCTAATAAATAATAATAATATATAAATCCTGTATAATAATAATAATAATATATAAATCCTGTATAATAATAATAATAATATATAAATCCTGTATAATAATAATATATAAATCCTGTATAATAAATAATAATATATAAATCCTGTATAATACTAATAATATATAAATCCTGTATAATAATAATATATAAATCCTGTATTATAATAATAATAATAATATATAAATCCTGTATAATAATAATAATATATAAATCCTGTATAATAATAATATATAAAATCCTGTATAATAATAATATATAAATCCTGTATAATAATAATAATAATAATAATATATAAATCCTGTATAATAATATATAAATCCTGTATATTAATAATATATAAATCCTGTATAATAATAATAATAATAATAATAATAGATTAGGCTGTTGAAATCCAGAACATCCCAGAGCTCTACAAAAGAATATACAAAACAGTAGAAGTGACATTTTGGAATTATGAAAGGGCAGTGAGCGGTGTTGTGCAGTCAGTTGGGTAATCATTAGCAGTAATGCGTCACTGCACCATAAGATGAGCACAATAATGTACAAATATTATAAAAATCTCTAGGAAAGGAACCTCTTGATCCCTGGAGACTTCCACGCTGTCCGAATCATCTTCGCACTTTCCTCGGGTGAATCGGGAGGACAGAGATGAATTGGTCGGCTTGTACAACATGGCAGACCGCATGAACTCTTCCCGCTCACGAGATCGCTCCCATTCGGTCATGTTGGAGTCCAGGCAACTTTCCAGAGCGTCTGGGAAATAAGCAGAATTTACAGATAGTGGTTTATAATTCACAACATATACAGACTTATGTATTATGTGTTCCCACCAAGAACTGCTGTTCTTTTCTGACGGCCACCAAACTGAATGATTTTATGGAGGGTCTGGTGCTGATCAGTAACTGGAGAGAGGAAACTAAATCTTATGAAGAAAGTCAGCACTTCTTTTACACTTCAACAGCTGCTGACATCATGGATTATACAGTAAATGGTTCAAAGTATCTAGCATGTGACTAGAAATGTGCTAAAGATTTGGGGGGGTCCATTTTTTTTTTTGTGGGATTCCCCCAAAAATCCTTACCAGACAAAGCGTTTGGTATAGTATTTGTGGTGCATGCGTGGGGTTCCCCGTTATCATTCATACCAGATGCTCATCAAGGATAAGGCACTGGTTTGCATTTGTAGAGGGAACTCCCTTCCCCTTTTATTCCCCCCTATGGGGGTCACCCATTAAAATCTATACCAGACCGTTATATAGGAAAAGGATCTGTTGTACGCTAACCACTTGCCTACAAGCAATTTATAAATGTAAAATTTGCCTTGTTTGCTAGAAATTACTGTAACCCGCATGCCAAAAATGAATATGTTTTCTGAAAGCAATAATCCTGGAGATTAAATGGTAGTAATTGCAATTTTTTATGTCGCAGCTGTTTATCAAACACATTTTTTAAGGGAAGAAAATACACTAAAATTAATTTTAAATGTAAACACACACTAATTTACTCAATTTTTTTTGTAAAATAAAGAAAAGGTTTGTGCCAGCTTGTTCATTTAAGCTTTGGCAATAGAACCTGGAAGCGGATTGGTTTCTAGGCAGAAGTGCACTGATTTTGCACTCTCCATCTTTAGTACATAAACCTGTGTCAATGTGCAGTGTGCAACTATTAGACATTTTATTAAAAAATAAAACAAAGTCATTACAATCTGCTACCTTTCTGTCCTTCATGGAGATTCCGGATGTATATTTCATATCGTTTCTGTTTTTCTGAATTCCTCTCAAAGGGTCGGAATTCTGTTGCGTTTGGCGGTACAAGCCGGCGGTCAAGCAACTCGTCCTGCCGCCTGTTGTGTGCCTCATCTTCAGACGCAGCCTTGAAGCGGTTCTTCATAGCTTCCTGTGCAAGTTTGTGTGCTTTCAGCTTCTGCTCCTCTATGGTCTGTTTTACATCTCTGATCCTTTCCCGGTCTTTGTCGGAGAGGAGGTTCAGGACAGAGGCTGGACCTAGGAATATAATAACAAAATACGTGATGATCCTAATTTATCGGGTTTTTTATTCTTGCCCATCAGGAAGGTAATGCCAGCATGCATGCTCAAGTAGTGCCATGGGCAGGTGTCTATGGGTGTAATGCAGATAATGTAGAACTAGTTCCACCACTGCTGATCCCAGCCTATTCTATGAACTTCGACGCTCCATTGAGGACCACAATTCTGCCTATTTTTCCTAAATCTTGCTGCCCAATCAGGACTACAGCCTGTTCTGGTGAACTGACCCGGTCCATGCCTGACTGTTGCTGACTCTAGCCTGCATCCTGACTATGAGTTGAGCTCATGCCCTCTGATTTCCCAGAATCCTTGTTACTTTGCTGTCACCTTCTCAGCATCAACAGTGCAAGCTCCGGTGGGCCCAGTCTCTCTTGCCACATCACGCCCTGGAACCACACTTACAAAGAAAACTGGACTCAAGGTGGCATACAGACTGACCTTGCCACCTCAAACTCCTTTAATTACTGCCTTCAGGATTCCTTTGAAATAGCGCCATCAACCCAACCTGCTTGATCAAGAAGGAATGTTGTCAACAGAACTCTGACACAATACGTCAAAACAAAGCACCTGCTACATGTTGCTGATGACCACCAAGAACTCCCAGATATCCTGCACTTAAAATCTTAATGGTGCACAAAGTGACAACTGTCTCCTAAGTACCTAGTGAAAACCACTCACCCTGAAGTGCCTCCTCCCCCAGCATCTCCCTTCTCTGGGAGGAGTTGAGTTGGTGTCTACTAGGTAATTGATCCTTCTTTGGTTCAGCAGGAGGACTCTTGGAAGATGCCAGAAGGACTTGCAAAGCAGCAGAAGTCTGACTGGCTGCATTTAGCACAGGTCGGAAGTAGTGCACCGGCTTGTAATCACTTGGTAACTCAGGTGCCGAGTAAACCTGTAAACATTCAAAAATGTTTCTATTAAAGGCACGCCATAACAAAAATGTTTTCATCTTGTTAACTGTAAGAGAGCAATGTAATTTAACTCTGTTTAGGAATTCCTGTTTGAATACCAGGAAATTAAAGAAGCTAACATTTTATTATGGTTTCAGAGAGCCTTCATAAAACATAATTCCAAAAATAAAAGCTGAATTAGGAGAGCTGCCAGCTTAGCCTGAGCTAGAAAACAAATTTATGAAATAAATTCCATCAGAAAGGACAACTATGAAAGGGATATTTTACCTTTTTCAGTGCAGACGGTTGTGTCGCTATAGAGAATCCCTCTAGGACTTTGCCTGATTCGCACTACTAGCCTGACTCCTGATTGGTTCAGGAGACCATAGGAAGGTAATATAAAAAGTTACATTGGCTGGGGCCAATATAAGTATACATATTTCATACCTGAAGGACTTCTAAAAAAAAAAAAAAAAAAAAAAAATGTAAAGAAATAAAAAGGCACTTTGCAAATGGTGATGTTGCCAGGCAACCCTGTGCTCGGTATATAGGACTCAGGAGATGGCAGCAATCACTGTAAAACTACTGGCTACTACAGTGACCATCAGCTTCCCCAGCAGTACATCAGGTATAAAATTTTCATACCTACAATCGATCCAAGCAGCCATACTTACATTGATCCAAGCTGCCAAACTTACATTGATCCAAGCTGCCAAACTTACATTGATCCAAGATGCCATACCTACATTGATCCAAGCAGCCGAACCTACATTGATCCAAGCTGCAGAACTTACATTGATCCAAGCTGCAGAACTTACATTGATCCAAGCTGCAGAACTTTACATTGATCCAAGCTGCAGAACTTACATTGATCCAAGATTGCAGAGAGAACGCTAACTCTTACATTGATCCAAGCTGCAGCTTGCACTTACATTGATCCAAGCTGCAGAACTTACATTGATCCAAGCTGCAGAACTTACATTGATCCAAGCTGCAGAACTTTACATTGATCCAAGCTGCAGAACTTGCATTGATCCAAGCTGCAGAACTTGCATTGATCCAAGCTGCACTTGCATTGATCCAAGCTGCACTCTTACATTGATCCAAGATGCCATACCTACATTGATCCAAGATGCCATACCTACATTGATCCAAGCATTGCCGAACTTACATTGATCCAAGCTGCAGAACTTTACATTGATCCAAGCTGCAGAACTTACATTGATCCAAGCTGCAGAACTTTGCACTCTTACATTGATCCAAGATGCAGAACTTACATTGATCCAAGCTGCAGAACTTACATTGATCCAAGATTGCACTCTTACATTGATCCAAGATTGCACTCTTACATTGATCCAAGATTGCACTCTTACATTGATCCAAGATTGCACTCTTACATTGATCCAAGATTGCACTCTTACATTGATCCAAGATTGCACTCTTACATTGATCCAAGATTGCACTCTTACATTGATCCAAGATTGCACTCTTACATTGATCCAAGATTGCACTCTTACATTGATCCAAGATTGCACTCTTACATTGATCCAAGATTGCACTCTTACATTGATCCAAGATTGCACTCTTACATTGATCCAAGATTGCACTCTTACATTGATCCAAGATTTGCACTCTTACATTGATCCAAGATTGCACTCTTACATTGATCCAAGATTGCACTCTTACATTGATCCAAGATTGCACTCTACATTGATCCAAGATTGCACTCTTACATTGATCCAAGATTGCACTCTTACATTGATCCAAGATTGCACTCTTACATTGATCCAAGATTGCACTCTTACATTGATCCAAGATTGCACTCTTACATTGATCCAAGATTGCACTCTTACATTGATCCAAGATTGCACTCTTACATTGATCCAAGATTGCACTCTTACATTGATCCAAGATTGCACTCTTACATTGATCCAAGATTGCACTCTTACATTGATCCAAGATTGCACTCTTACATTGATCCAAGATTGCACTCTTACATTGATCCAAGATTGCACTCTTACATTGATCCAAGATTGCACTCTTACATTGATCCAAGATTGCACTCTTACATTGATCCAAGATTGCACTCTTACATTGATCCAAGCTGCATACTTACATTGATCCAAGATGCCATCTTACATCGATCCAAGATGCCATACTTACATTGATCCAAGCTGCCATCTTACATTGATCCAAGATTGCCATGCTTACATCGATCCAAGCTGCACATACTTACATTGATCCAAGCTGCCATACTTACATTGATCCAAGCTGCCATGCCTACATCGATCCAAGCAGCCATACCTACATCGATCCAAGCTGCCATACTTTCATTGGTTCAAGCTGGACCAAATGTAAATACGCAATTAAAATTGTACCTGAATATATATTTGGCAGCTTTTCTGTCTCAGTGGATTAAGTTTTCAAACAAATATGAAGTACATTATAGTTTACTCAATTAGTGGACCCCATTACCCACAAGAAGCTCTTGATGCCTTGCCACATCACTTCAACTTGAAAATCCTCCCATTTGAGCCCTCCAAGAAAAAGGATGGAGCCCCCTTAAGCAACCCACAAAGGAGTCTTATTTTTTTGTTCAACCAGCAGGTTGAAGGAAGAAAAAATGACTTGATTCCCCCCCCCACACATTCAATGTGAATGGGGAATCCTCCCCACTAATCCTAATCCTCCCGCACCATCAGAATACACTGATCAGCGTTTCTGGCTATAGCCCACGGCACTGATCAAGTGGGGAAAAAAAAATCAACAATGCAGTTGTACAGAAGTCAATCTGTAGATCCACTTCTGTACAACCAGCCCGCCCATACATGGTTCCAGATTTGCATAGTTCCCTATGAACTGGCCAAATTTCAATCCATGTTGGGCCGGCTTATGTGTAAGGGTACTTACCTTTTGATGGCCATCTTATCTTTCGTAGTTTTGTATTGTTTTACTTTGTCTTCATTTTAGCTCAACTCCTTACACCCCCCCACCCACCCAATTCTTACCCTTTTTATTCCCCCCCCCCCACACACACACACACACTTTTATTCCCCCTTTCTCTCCCGTTACATTGTTTTGACATTAAGATTATGGTTATTTTATGTGCCAGATAAACATTTATTGTATTATTAAATTTCTGCCAACATTTTATTATGGTTTCAGAGAGCCTTCATAAAACATAATACACAAATAAAAGCTGAATTAGGACCGATGCCAGCTTAGTCTGAGCTATAAAAACAAATTTATGAACTAAAATCCCATCAGAAAGGACAACTATGAAAGGGATATTTTACCTTTTTCAGTGGAGACGGTTGTGTCGCTATAGAGAATCCCTCTAGGACTTTGCCGATGTATTGAAGTTCTTTCATAGACCCTAAAAAAAGGTGACAGCAGTTCACATACTCTGATCACAGATAATTCATTTCTCAGTAGAAGCTAGAAATCCACCTTAAAGTGTTACTAAACCCACAACAGTGCAATCAGTCTGTATATGCAGTTACACATGCTTCTTATACTCACTGTGGAACCTAAGGGGTTATTCCTCAGTATTGTTTAAAAAGACTGTTTGATCCTGTCTTTTCTGATCCTCCCCTTCTTTTGCTGTCCCCAGTCCATCTGCCATAGTACAGAGCAGCAGTGGCATGTCTGCACATGCTCTATTTGGTGTGTATTGCTAGGGATTGTTTTTGTATTGCTAGGGATTGTTGTTGTTACATATATGGACAATGAACTCTCTCCTCTCTTGTGCCAATACTATTGTTTATAATATATTTAATACATTATTATATTTCCATATTATGTGTACTGTGGATGACTGGCTATAGTGAATGCAGGGTCCAGGGAGACCAGATATAGTGAATGCAGGGTTCTGGGGGACCAGATATAGTGAATGCAGGGTCCTGGGGAGACCAGATATAGTGAATGCAGGGTCCTGGGAGACCGGATATAGCGAATGCAGGGTCCTGGGAGACCGGATATAGCGAATGCGGGGTCCGGGGAGATCGGATATAGTGAATGCGGGGTCCGGGGAGAGCGATATAGTGAATGCAGGGTCCGGGGAGAGCGGATATAGTGAATGCGGGGTCCGGGGAGAGCGGATATAGTGAATGCAGGGTCCGGGGAGAGCGGATATAGTGAATACAAGGGTCCGGGGAGAGTGGATATAGTGAATGCAGGGTCCTGGGAGACCGGATATAGTGAATGCAGGGTTCGGGGAGACCGGATATAGTGAATGCAGGGTCCGGGGAGACCGGATATAGTGAATGCAGGGTCCGGGGAGACCGGATATAGTGAATGCAGGGTCCGGGGACCGGATATAGTGAATGCAGGGTCTGGGGAGACCGGATATAGGGAGTGCAGGGTCCGGGGAGAGCGGATATAGTGAATGCAGGTCCGGGGAGAGCGGATATAGTGAATGCAGGGTCCGGGAGAGAGCGGATATAGTGAATGCAGGGTCCGGGGAGAGCGGATATAGTGAATGCAGGGTCCGGGGAGAGCGGATATAGTGAATGCAGGGTCCGGGGAGAGCGGATATAGTGAATGCAGGGTCCGGGGAGAGCGGATATAGTGAATGCAGGGTCCGGGGAGAGCGGATATAGTGAATGCAGGGTCCGGGGAGAGCGGATATAGTGAATTGGCAGGGTCCGGGGAGAGCGGATATAGTGAATGCAGGGTCCGGGGAGAGCGGATATAGTGAATGCAGGGTCCGGGGAGAGCGGATATAGTGAATGCAGGGTCCGGGGAGAGCGGATATAGTGAATGCAGGGTCCGGGGAGAGCGGATATAGTGAATGCAGGGTCGGGGAGAGCGGACACAGTGAATGCAGGGTCTGGGGAAAGCGGATATAGCGAGTGCAGGGTCCGGGAGACCAAATATAGTGAATGCAGGGTCCGGGGAGAGCGGACACAGTGAATGCAGGGTCCTGGGTTTAGTACCACTTTAAAGAGTAGCTGTAAGTTTATTAAAATATTACCTTATAGCTGTGTATCAGCGTGTTTTAGGCAGGATTAAAAAAAAAAAGTAAAATGCGCCCTTATGTCTCTGGGCCCTACTACGGGGACACACAACAGATAACATACACATACTGTTTGTGATATCACTACGATTCATCTGGGTTGTTTTTTTTGGTGGTAGGTTATGGTAATAGCAAGAAAGGTAAAGCTTTTTTTTTTTACGATTCTGCGCCAGTTTTTTCTTTATAAGATTTCTGTACTGTTGAGCAGCACTAAGAGGTTTAACTCGACAGAAGTTCTTTATAGACAGAAGTGCTTTATAGAAAGAGGTAAACAGGGCTGCTGCCCACAGCTACGCAAACAAACACAACAATGGGCACACCTCTGTTGATACAAGTACTTGGCACACAGCGGAGGCAGATCTGTGAGTACAGGTAGCACAGGGACACGAAGGGCCACAGAGGGAAAATAGTGCTGCTACTCCTCCTCAGCCAAATAAGGAGTTAAAGCTGAACTCTCTCTTACAAAAACTCATCAAATATATTCAACAACCACAAAAGATTTCCATCCACTTCCTGTGCACCAAATGCCTTTGCAAACCCCTAATTTTACCTTGTAAAAGGAGCAGTGACATCATCACTGTGCTGCTCATTGCCTGTGCAGACTGCAGAGCTATGGGAGGGGCCCAGCAGGCCCCACCCACTACAGGCTGCCTGCAGAAAACTACAGGATGGGGCGGAGACCAGACCAGTCATTCTGCACAAGGAAAGGGAGCAGCAGTGAGCGGTCTCTATTGGAGGAAGTCTCCTACTGGATTACTGCACAGATTTGGAAGAAATACACAAAGCACACCGAGATTCAAGAAAAATTACACGATGAACATACACTCACCGGCCACTTTATTAGGAAAACCTTTGCTAGTCCCCGGTTGGACCCCCTTTTGCCTTTCAGGACTGTTAATTCTTCATGGCATAGATTCAACATGGTTTTGGAAACATTTCTCAGATATTTTGGTCTATATTGACCTGATAGCATCATGCAGTTGCTGCAGATTTGTCAGTTTAAGGAGGAGACGTACGCAGTGACGTCACGCCGCCGGGACCACAAGGAGGTCCGGCGGCCATCTTGGATCCTTATGGTCAGTGTAATTTCATTCTGATTCTTTCTGCATACACCTAATAAACGGTTTACTGGAATATACTTCATTATGGGCATTATTCTTTCTGGCTCTATATGAGCTAAGCAAATTCACAGAGCCCATTCTGGAGGAAACCTGCGGTGCTGCGGATAAACCAGGGGAAGGGGATCTCTCTGACCACACCTGGCTGTACACATCCTTAAGGGGACCTCCAGCTGACAACATTATATACAAATGCGTGATATGATTACGCATCTGGTGAGTGCGTAATCTCAACATATTCCTGGCACTTCACCGAATATCGTTTAAGTATTTGAAGCACTTATTATGAGATCATTCTTGAATGGATCTTCACTATTAGCACTTTATGAACATTGCTATACCATTGAACTTGATATTATAGCACTTTTAAGTGCTCACAACCATCACTATACCAGCACATTATTATTATTATACAGTATTTATATAGCGCCAAAGGGTGTGCTCAGCGCTGTACAGTAGCAGGGGGGACAGAACATGAGACAAGACAGTAACAAAACAGTACACGAGGGGTTCGAGGGCCCTGCTCTTTCGAGGTTACAATCTAGGGAGGGAGGGGACGGTGATACAGGAGGAGATGGCTGTGGGGGATGGAGTGGGGGGAGGAGTGGAGGAGGTTGTTAGGTGAGGTCGGGTGTTAGGTGAGGTTGGGGTAGGCTTCCCTGAAGAGGAGGGTTTTCAGGGTGAATATGATCTTTTAGCACTTTGCCACCTTATATCTGAGATATTATTGATTTTGCACAAATCGATATTATTGATTTTGCACATATCTATTTTTATTTTGATCATATTGCATTGGATTGTTTTCTGCATATCTCAAGCGCTGCACCCATTTGTATTAGATTTGTCGGCCTCACATCCTTACCTTTCTTGTTTCTATATTCTTTTGGTGCAGTCCATCCAAACAGGTTGTCTCCGCTCTCCTCTCTGAGCACCGTGTCATACTTTGACAGGGAATCCGTACCATATATGTCGTCATCCTCATCCTCTAGAGCCCCAACACCAAACGCCTGCACAGGAAACACAGCACAGCATGGCTTACAAGTTAATACTGCAATGAAAGTGGTGTATTAAGGAGAAGGTCCCTGACAACTACAGAACAGCAGCCCTTGGCACTATTTTGCTCAGCATACACCAGCAACCATACACTCAGCACAGCTGCTGGTGTGAATGAGCCCCAAGGCAGATGTTCTGGATGCAAGACATAGTATAACCAGAACTGTAGTAGCTGCTAGTGCAGAAAGTATGAATATAGGGTGGCACCTGTCCAGAAATCCCGACTTTCCTTCCTTTGCCGTGCCGCACATCTCCCAGAGAACTGAACGTCCGATCAGAGCCATCGCCAAAAAGATTAACATGAGAGTCCAGAGATCCGAACAAGGCCTGGCGAGGATCCAGCCCCCGGTAACCAAGGCCATGGACATTATCCTTTACAGTGAAATCTATGGGGGTCACATCTTTGGGTGCAAAAGTCACATTCTCGGGTAGGTATTCGTCTTCTTCATCCTAGGGTAAAAGCCACAGAAAGATCAGGCAAGTCAAAACCAAAAAGCCTTGATAAGTGGATGGAAGGGGCATTGGCATGCAGACCGCCCTCAGTTGACACTGAACCTTGATTGAAAGAACTGAAATCCAATGAATGAATGGGGCAGGCCAGGGCCAGTCAGGCTGAGGAGGAAAGAGATAGATGATGCTGGGTGACCTCCAGCAGAGAAATGAGGCAGGCTCTATGTGCCTTGCTGCAGCTTCTAATGCACATTGTGAGAAGCTCGTAGTGTGCAGGGAAACCAGTAAGCAATTTCAGTAGAGGAAAGGAGCTGGTACAATTGTGCAGGAGAGGAGGTAAAGCTGGAATTGAGCCTTAAATATAATTCACTGAACTCTGTATTATTATGTCTGTACAGGTTTTCAAAGATTCCCACTGAGAAACATTCAACCCCTTGGCTCTGGCGCCTCCCGGCCTTTTAAGGGTTTCAGAATCTGGGAGGCAGGGCGGGGTTTAGGGTCATGTGACCGCCGTGACACACCGGTCACATGATCGGGAAAGGTGCCGATCCAAATAGGAGATCAGGACCTTTCCGTGAGTACCAGACACGTGTGCTGGGAGCGCGCAGGGCGCGCGCTCTCAGCACATATGTTTTTTTAATAGAACGCAAATGTGCGGCCGCTCGGCGTCTAGGCCCAGACGCCGGGAGGCCGCACATTTGCGTTCGGGTCGGCCGGCGCCAAGAGGTTAAATATGTTCTGCAAGCCATGTAGGAGGGTTATCCTGGGCTAGCCTACAGTTTTGATTTCCAGAGTCTAACCCTCCTGCAGGCGGCAGGCAGCAGACTCCCCGTATCCCTCAATGGACATGGATGCTTTTCCTTTACAGGCTGGAGTTAGTCCACATGTGACCCTGGAGTCATCGAGCTCTCCAACACTTTATCATCACTTGTTTATTACTGATTTACAGGTCTGCCCTGATATGGACAGCATAAACACTAAAGACCTATTAGAATATACTGCACGCTATAAAACCCTGTTTAATGAAACCAAACATTCTCGCAGAACATATAAAAGTTGATGACACAAGATAAATGTATGCAGCCAATAAAATACTAAGATGCCATAGTAAAAAATAAATAAGGTATAATAACACAACCAGCATAAAACATAATATGTATGATGAAATACTTACCTCTGACCTCAGCCATCTGTAGGTGATCATTGATAATGTAAAGGAATAAAACCAGTGATCTCAGCTAGCCTCATGTAACATGTTCACAGTAACCCTCTGTAATCTGCAGCATGTCTTTAGCATCAAGCCAAACCTGCAGCATGTCCCCAGTTTCTAACCACTGCTTCCTTTGGACCTCATTTACACTTTCAATTGAGGGGCAGTAAAAACCACATGGATGAGCCATGTTTTTACTGCCCACCAACCATTCCCCTTTAACCTCCTTAGCGGTTTTCCCGAGTGTAGCTCAGGGTAAAATTTCAATACCAAGAGCGGTAACCCCGAGCTACACTCGGGCTTACCATGCGGCGTTGCTCTGGGAGTCCCTGCAGCACTTACCTTGTCCTTCGCTCCCGCGATGTGTCCCCTGCAGCGTCCCCGGCCATCTCCTCCGGCCGATGCCGGCATCCAGCTTCCGTGTTCCGGTCCGGCGGGAAATTTGAAATTTTAAAGAAATGTCATTTTTGCTGTCATTGCTGTTTCAATGCATTTCACATACATTTTGTCCCGAGTGCTTTGTCCGGCGCCCTGCCTGCATTTTGACTGTTCTTTCTGCCTGGAAACTGAGAAACGTCCATGGCGTCCAAAAAGCGTCCCTTTACGTCAAAAGCGGTTTTAGACCGGCTAGAGAACAGCGATAGTAAATCAGAACTACTTGCAGAATTGAGTGATAATGATTCGTGGGGGAAATTCGTCATCAGACACTGAAAACGATTTTGCAACTTTGCTCAGCGATGTGCGAATTTGCCTCTGTATTTCACATTTCAGTGTTTTTGGTTTGATTATATTATTGAATTAAATTTATTATATTATTTTTTTATGATTATTTATTCAATTATAATTTATGATTTTGTGTTTCAAGTTTTATCATCCCCGGGATGTTTACTAGACTCTTGTTCGGACAGATTTCATGGAGTTATTCCTAAAAATTACAGCCTACAATAAAAAAACGACATATTTCCATGCAAAAAAATGTACCGCGTTCAGCACAAAAAAAATCGGAAAGAATCATACCGCTAGGGAGGTTAAAGTGGAATTAAAGCCCAACTCTGGGAAGAAAAAAAATTATGAATGTGAGTTAGGGACCTTAGATTGTACGCCCCTTGAGGGTTAGGGACTGATGTGAATGTACAATATATATGTAAAGTGATGCGTAAATTGACGGCGCTATATAAGTACCTGAAATAATTCTCATGCAGTGGGGCTGAACGGATTAACTGCTCGCTATTTTTTCTAGGGGGGAGGAGAGTGAAGATATACTTTTGTAATCCTCCCAGAACAAGACCGGTGTAGCACCTCCACGCTCAGCGTTTATTAAAAAGTGGACCATTCCTGGTGTCCTCATGCCCAGAGCAGGCTCCATAGGGCAGGAGCTGTCCACCGCTGGACTGTTGAGGAGTGGGTGTTTTCCGAAGGATCGGGAGAATATGTTTTCTACACACCCCTAGGAAAAAAAGGAGCAGCTGGCCCATGCAGCCCCACTGCAGGGAAAAAAAAAATTTTGCTAGAGTTGGGCTTTAAACTAAAAAAAATAAAATAAACTGACATGTAGTATCTTTATGAAAGGAGGGAGGAAGAAGGAGAACATCTTGGTATCTTCTTTCATAAACGATTCTTTTTGCCTGTTTGCATTTAATGTACACTGAGCCACAAGTGCACAGCTCAACATACATTTACGCACCGGAGTGATGTCGTCGTGACCCAGCCAATCAAGTTGCTGAACCTGAAGGAAGACAGGGAGAAGATGGAAGTGTCCCCAACTGGCCAAAGCACTGACAGCGCATCGCTGGCAGCAGATCGTTTGACAGGTAAGTCTGCCATAATGTGCCAATATGTTGTGCATACTAGCACATTATGGCCAACACCACCTGGGGACCATTTAAGAAAAAAAAAACACTTTGCAGAGTTTTATTCCACTTTAACCTCTTCACGCAGAGCGAACACAAATGTGCGGCCTCTGGAGTTTGGGCCTTGACGCCGAGCGGCCGCACATTTGCGTGCAATTAAAAAAAAAACATATGTGCTGAGAGCGCATTCCCTGCACGCTCCCAGCACACATGTCCAGTACTCACAGAAAAGGTCCCGATCTCCTCTTGTGATCGGGAACTTTCCTGATCATGTGACAGCGAATCACAACGGTCACGACCCTAAAACCCCCCCCTGCCTCCTGAAACCTTTAAAGGGCCGAGAGGCGCCGGCGCCAAGGGGCAAAGCTGGCAGACAGTGATGGCTAAATTCATGAAACTGTCGAGTTCCGTAGGCAGTACTGCATTGAACATAACCTATTCAATGTAATCAGTGCTGCAACTGCATGTAATGCCTGCGATTGCTTTGCAGATTTTTAGGGGTGACATAACACCTCCTTACCACCGGTCAAATGCCGCACTGCAGATCGCTTTTCAGAGGACAACAGAGGTGTAAACAAGCTCTTTATATGTGTCTACAGTCCCCCAGCATTACATATGTTGAATATTACGTTATATTAAGTTGCAGATGCGGCCCCCTATACATTCACACACAAAACACACGTATGAATAATAATATTGTATAATCTGTAACGTACCTCCGATCCTTCAGAACCTGTAGGGGGCAGCGCACAGCCATAAACCTTCCTGCTAGGTTCTGGAATGTAAAAAACAAATACAAATATTTACTATATACAGCATATAAAAACAGAAGCTGCCTGTGTCCGATTTTCTCTTCTACTGTCTAAAAAGTGGAGGTGAGCCTGAAGCTTGTGCAGAATTCTCTAATCTCTATATAACCCACCCATGACACATAGGTGCCTAGGGAGAGCTACACGAAGAACACTGAGACCATTTGTAAAACATACAAAATAAAAGACAAAACAGACCTCACCATAATAGATTACATAGAGATACTAAGGTTTTCTGAAGAAAAGGGTTTCGCTTTTTAACCCCTTGGTGCCGGCGCCTCCTGGCCCTTTAAGGGTTTCAGAAGCTGGGGTTTTAGGGTCATGTGACCGCCGTGATCTGCTGTCACAGCGGTCACTTGATCGGGAAAGGTCCCGATCACAAGAGGAGATCGGGACCTTTCCGTGAGTACCGGACATGTGTGCTGGGAGCGCGCACTCTCAGCACATGTTTTTTTTAATTGCACGCAAATATGCGGCCAACTGGCGTCAAGGCCCAGACGCCAAGAGGTCACACAATTGCGTGAAGAGGTTAAAAGGATAGTGCACTTCAAAACAAAGAGCATTTATGCTTTTTGCACCCCATATCCTGAACCAACCTAACACACCCTCTCCCTCTACGTATACATACTTACCTCTACTCTGACAACAACGGTTTTGTGATTTGTTCAAATCCAGCGCTGCAAGAATAGTCTCAGCCATGCCTGTGCATTATTTCCCAAAAGACTTCTATAAGACCGTCTAAGTTCATCTCCAGCCTCAGAACAAAGGCCCAGTGACGTTTATGGGCCTGTATTGTACAGACACGGCCAGGACAGTTAAGACTTGTGGTGCTGAACGTAAACACAGTAATCATGGCTGGCCAATCTAGGCAAGTATGTGTCTGTGGCAGGGGGAGGAGGGTGGGTGAGATTAGGTCAGGGACAAAAAAAGGATAAAAGGTACTTAGTTTTAAAGTGCATTAATCCTTGAAAGCTTATCAATTATCTGCGCATATCTGGAGAGGGTAATCAAATATAAATAGGAGCTTTCACTCTGAAGAGATGTTTGCTTTGGAGGTGTTGTGTTTGACCAGTCTTAGTGCTGCAGTTCCAGATGACAGCAGAGTATTTAAAGAATGAATCAGTGCTGGGATTCCTTTATATATACATACAGGGACAGGACAACCCACGCAAACGCACAACAGAACACATCACAGTTACACAAAAAAACATTTATAATACTGGTAAACTTTATGAGTCTATATCTGTATAGAAAAACTGTTAAAAGGAGTTTCATTCTTTATATAGCATCTGAGATGCGGAATAGCTCCAACATGGAGCCCAGCAGAACACGGAGCCCCGCCATGGAGACCAGCAGAGGAACACAAGAGCCCCGCCATGGAGAACCAGCAGAGGAACACAAGAGCCCCACCATGGAGACCAGCAGAGGAACACAGAGCCCCGCCATGGAGACCAGCAGAGGAACACAAGAGCCCCGCCATGGAGACCAGCAGAGGAACACAAGAGCCCCGCCATGGAGACCAGCAGAGGAACACAAGAGCCCCCGCCATGGAGACCAGCAGAGGAACACAGAGCCCCGCCATGGAGACCAGCAGAGGAACACAAGAGCCCCGCCATGGAGACCAGCAGAGGAACACAGAGCCCCGCCATGGAGACCAGCAGAGGAACACAGAGCCCCGCCATGGAGACCAGCAGAGGAACACAAGAGCCCCGCCATGGAGACCAGCAGAGGAACACAGAGCCCCGCCATGGAGACCAGCAGAGGAACACAAGAGCCCCGCCATGGAGACCAGCAGAGGAACACAGAGCCCCGCCATGGAGACCAGCAGAGGAACACAGAGCCCCGCCATGGAGACCAGCAGAGGAACACAGAGCCCCGCCATGGAGACCAGCAGAGGAACACAAGAGCCCCGCCATGGAGACCAGCAGAGGAACACAGAGCCCCGCCATGGAGACCAGCAGAGGAACACAGAGCCCCGCCATGGAGACCAGCAGAGGAACACAAGAGCCCCGCCATGGAGACCAGCAGAGGAACACAGAGCCCCGCCATGGAGACCAGCAGAGGAACACAGAGCCCCGCCATGGAGACCAGCAGAGGAACACAGAGCCCCGCCATGGAGACCAGCAGAGGAACACAGAGCCCCGCCATGGAGACCAGCAGAGGAACACAGAGCCCCGCCATGGAGACCAGCAGAGGAACACAGAGCCCCGCCATGGAGACCAGCAGAGAACACAGAGCCCCGCCATGGAGACCAGCAGAGGAACACAGAGCCCCGCCATGGAGACCAGCAGAGGAACACAGAGCCCCGCCATGGAGACCAGCAGAGGAACACAGAGCCCCGCCATGGAGACCAGCAGAGGAACACAGAGCCCCGCCATGGAGACCAGAGAGGAACACAAGCCCCGCCATGGAGGAACCAGAGCAGAGGAACACAGAGCCCCGCCATGGAGACCAGCAGAGGAACACAGAGCCCCGCCATGGAGACCAGCAGAGGAACACAGAGCCCCGCCATGGAGACCAGCAGAGGAACACAGAGCCCCGCCAGGAGAAGCAGGGAAGAAAACAAACCCCACCATGGAGCCCAGCAGAGGAACACAGAACCCCACGAAAAAGCCCAGCAGAGGAAAACAGAACCCCACCAAAAAGCCCAGCAGAGAAACACAGAACCCTACCAAAGAGCTCAGCAAAAGAGATGAAAACAAGTGGGCCAAGGATTGCCAGAGGTGTGTTGCATCAGTAGTTTAGGAGAGAGAATCATGCTGATGTTTCTCCCAACCGTCGAACTCTTTTCAAACACCAAACTGGAAAGACCATTCAAAGGCGAAGTTTGCGTCATACAGTGGAGAACACCAGCCACGGTGAATGAGCACCGAGTGTTCTTCTGCATCCACTGCTCCTATGAAAGCAGTACAGCGAGGTGTGCTTATGCAACACTGCTTTTTTAGGTGATCACTGTCAAATGACCATGATCACCAGCCAAAAGGCAATCAGTTCAGCACTCAGCATCTTCACTGAGACTGCCACAGCATATAGAATGCAAACATGCACAGTCCTTTGCATATTTCAGAGAATGGTCTTTGATGTGCAGGCATGATTATATGTGTACTTCTGATAGGTTTCCTATTAATGAATGCTCATTAGCACCCCCCTGGACAGTCCCCATGCCCTGGGTGAATTTTATCCATGTCTCAACTAAAACCTAAAAGCAGACCTGCACTCAAAAATTGGCTGCATTCCAATCCCTCTTCCACTTTTTACAAAGTTGACTCTCCAATTTTTTTTTCACTTTTTTAAAAGTTCTTCTCCTGGTGCCGTATCTCAGGAGGCATCACTTTCCATTCATATAAGCGAACGCCTAATTTCAAAGAGAAAGCTGGCTCATAGTGACGTAAACAAAGAAGACAGAGCTTCCCCCATCCTCTGGAACTCTCTACCCCAATTTATCAGACTATCGTCTACTCTGCTCACTTTTAGGCGATCTCTGAAAACCTCTCTCTTCAGGGAAGCCTACCCTGCCCTCAGCTAATAATTGAATCTTCTCTTCCCCCTACCAGTCCATCCCCCACAGTTATTACCTTTTGTACCACTACGTCCCCCCTCCTAGATTGTAAGCTCCAAGGATCAGGGCCCTCCTAACCCTCTTGTATTGAACTGTATTGTTGCTGTATTGTCTCCCGTTATATTGTAAAGTGCTGAGCAAACTGTTGGCGCTATATAAATCCTGTATAATAATAATAAATACAGAGTTTAGGGATGGGACCTGGACTAGAAGAGCTTGGCATGAGAAGAGGACAGTGCTGGATCTTTTGGGCTTGTAATTTTATTATTACAGCATAAGAACATAAATTTTATTGGGAGAGTGAAATTTGTCTTTAACAGTTACATTTTATACACACCATCCCATAAACCAATGACAGCGCTGCACCTGACAAACAGACTCATTGGTTCATGAACAGCTAAGGATGTATGCTCCTCAGGGGCGGACTGACAACTCATGGGGCCCTTGGGCAATAGGGGATCATGGGGCCCCTGTGTCCTTGCCCAAACTCAAAAAAGCCTATAAAAAAGGTACCAGGGGCATCTCATGGGGCCCCCTACTGACCCCGGGCCCTCGGGCAGTCCCGAGTTTCCAAATGGTCAGGCAGTCCACCCCTGATCCTCCTCTACATCACAATCTCAGCAGGAGCAGAGCTGGGAAAGCTCCAACTGCATTGTAACTGGCTCAGATCTAGCCAGCTATGGCACAGCAAGAGAAAGGAGGGCTCACACAGCGACTAAAACTTGAAATAACAGGAATGATTTAAAAAAACAAAACAAAGAGGGGCTGAGAGAATTAGAAAAGAAAAATCAAACTGTAATTCTTTTAGGCTAGGTTGCTGCAATCCAATTTTCAGTTCGATTTGGATGAAGTTTGCATATTCTATGGGGCCAAAAATTGCACTGGAATCACACCAAAGTAGTACAGAAATCTTTTCCAAAGCGGAGTTGCATTGATATGAATAGGCACCATTGAAAACAATGTGATTTCCACTGTCATGCGATTCTATGCGACGCAGGTTGCATTTGAAATTGCACTAGTGTGTCTTAAAACGTCATGGTGTCGTTTAGGTCTACAGATCTTTATCAGGCTTACAAAGGCTTTATAGTGGCACCCACCAGGTTCCTGCTTCCGAAGTTTCCTCTTGGTCCTGGGACCCACGCCTTGCCCTTCTTTCCAGCCCATCTGGCGCAGTAGCTGAACACCAACAGTGATCCTGAGGAAAGGAGAAAAACAATTACACTTCCATTCTTCTATTTCACCTGCCATAAGATACAGATTAAAGTGGAATTACCCCTGGTTCACATCTGTGCGGGTGGTGCCGCTGCGTTCCGCACCAAAATCCGTGCAACCGCACCACCCGCACGGGTGGATGTCATTAGTTCTAATGGCAATCCGCCCACACTGGAAAACGCAACTGTACTGGGAACCGTGGTTCCTGTGTGGGCTGCGTTTTCCAAAGCAGTGCAGGGACTTCTTCTCTGTGTGTCATGGGCACAGGAGTCCATCCAAATGAATGGGCTCTCATGCCCGTGCAAAACACAGCCCGCACGGCTGCATAGGAGTGAACCGGGGGTAAAGCTGGCCATACACACAGATTTTTTTTTCATTAAAGGCTAAGTTCACCTTTTCCAGAAAATAGCCTATTCATTTAAGGGGCCCCAGTAGATATTAAATATATGTGCATCTTTATAAAATGATCATTCATTTTATTGTTTTACCTGCAGGCCATTTGGTTCCCCTTGGAAGTAACTCTTCGTAACCCTCACGATCTGACCGTTGCTAAGCCATGAAAACTGTTGGATGTTCACTTGCAGCATTGCAGTACTGAAAACCAACGGTTTTTGCATCCTAGCAATGAGACAGAATGTGGGGGTTGCCAACTAGAAGGTTTTTTTTTTTTAGCCAGGCTTCTGAGGGGTACCCAAATGGCCTACTAATAAAACAATAAAATAAATGATCATTTTACAAAGCGTTAAAGTTTTTATAACATCTACTATCCCCTTACTGCATAGGCTATTTTCTGCAAGGGGGAACGGACCTTTTAAGCCTGCGCATGAATGGAAAAAATAATCAGTCTTCCTTCCATGCCATACAGAATGGATGAATCTTCCACTGCAGCTATTATAGTTTGACAGCAAACCTTGCAAGCTGTCAAAATATCTAAACAGTGCCTGCATTTGATGGCATGCAGGCAATGTTTGGCTGAAAATGTTCCACCCAACTCCTCTGATGCTTCAATTGAGGGATATTGGACAGAAGGCAGCTAACAGGGCCACACGCTGAGCAAATTTCACCATCTACTGGCCCGAAATTTGAACAGTGTATGGCCAGTTTAACCCCTTGACGCCGACGTAACACAAATATGTGGCCTCACAGAACTGGGCTTTTTTCTGTGGGGCTGCATATTTGTGTACCTATCTTTCTGGTGAGAGCGCGCCCCCAGCACAAACACCGGGGTATCACTGAGAGCACTGGGTCCCGTTCTAAAGATCGGGACCCGGGACTGCCAGGCTATCACAGTGATCAGTCACTGTACAGCCTGGCCCCCTTGTGTTTTTTTTTCTCTCTATGAATGGAGGAGAGAGATACATTGTATCTCTCTAACTCCCATCAAAGAGGGGGAAAAAAATGTTTGTTAAAAAAAAAAAAAAAAAAAAAAGAAAATATTAAAAAATAAAAGAAAAAAATAAAGAAAAAATACCTAGATCAAGGTTTGATCTAGTTCAGTGCCAGGGTTGTTTGGGTCAAGGTCAGGGTCAAAAGGTCAAGGCCAGGATTTTTTAAAAAAAATTTGGTGTCAGTGTGGTTTAAGAAAAAAAAAAAAAAAAAAAAAAGACAAAAACAAAATGCACATTATTGTTTCTGGGCTGTACTATGGGTACAAACAACAAATAACATACACATATATGATATCGCTGCGATCCTGAAGAGCTGGAGAATTTATTTTGGGTTGTTCTTTAGTGGTAGGTTATAGTAGTAACAAGAAACACACAGCTAAATAAAAAAAAAAATATATTTTTTTTTTACTATTTTCGGCTAGTTTTCCTTTGATAATAAAAAAAAAAAAAATCAGGAGATATCCATTACCATTTGGGCAGCACAGTGGCTGAATGGTTAGGACTTCCGCCTGGCAGCACTAGGGTCGCTGGTTCAAATCCCAATCACAGCACCACCTGCCTGGAGTTTGCATGTTCTCCCTGTGACTGCGTGGATTTCCTCCAGGAACTCCGGTTTCCTCCTACACTCCAAAGACATGCTGGTAGGTTAATTGGCTCCTGTCTAAATTGTCCCTAGTATGTGTATGTATGAATGTAAGTGTGTGTGTGTAAAATATATATATTTTACACACACAAGGATATATATTATACATACACAAGGATATATATATATATATATATATATATCCTTTAATAACCACTGGTGCCAAGACAACATGAAGTAAAGGAAACACAGACGCAAAGAGTAACCCTTCTCCACTTCATTCAAAACGAAAAAAGTTTTTAGCTGTAGTTCCAAACAACCCAATGGAAAATAAATATCTTGTATTAAAAAAATAACATGTATTACTTTGCCGGAGCGATTAAGTCCTCCAGGATGGTGGCCCCTGGTATAGGTGCGGTGACCGCTGCAAGCTCTCTGGCCTTCTCCCGAATCTTGTCTTTGGTTTTCGAAGCAAAATCATCTGTTGTCATGATTTCCTTTGGTGCTATGCCAAACTCACCGAGATCCTGTAAAAGAAAAAGGAGCAAATTTCCGGAACTTTTTTTTTCTTTATTCAACACCTCAGCCTGTGTAATATTAATATTTTGCTTTCTGGGACCTCCTTTATATCTTTAGCCTCTGTATTTGTCCCGGTGGCTACTGTTTCAACAACAGAACGGGGGATAGAAACAATTGAGTACAGTCCTTGATGCTTTTTTTTTTTATTTACACTAACATACAATTTTTCAGGACGAGCTTTCAGGGTGTACCCCCTTCTTCAAGCCCAAGCAGTACTTCCAAAAGCTTGTGCTGAAAAATTGTATGTTAGTGCAAATTTAGGAAAGAATCAAGGACCTACTCAATTGTTTCTCTCGAAAGTGCACTAATACGGCTACAATCACCTCAAGCAAGAAGGAGATAGGAAATTAGAAGTTATACAGTTGTCACCAAAACAAAAGCGAAAGGGCAAATCTTCCCCTATGGACTCCTGCTCTGGGGCAGCTTAAAGGAGGAATTCCCCTTGCTTTGTTTATAATTTCCTCTCACCTCCTGTTGCATCTGCAGGAAGTGAAGGTAAATCTCCCCATTGGGACTCAGAAAGCAAAAACAAACCAACAGATTTTTAAACCCTTCCATAACCCCTTTTGTAAAATATTGGCTAACATGCAGTCTAAAGCTGCCCATACACTGATAGTTTTTTCATTCAGCCCACTGGCTGAATGTGAACAGATTCCTCCATCCACACAAGCGAGGTGAATGGGTGAATCACCTCACGGGGACACTGTATTCTGACAGAAGCTCCCGCTGCTCTCTTTTCTCTACAGCCTCCTAAAGCACACATTTTACTCAGTACTGTTGAGCTTCAAAGGGCAGGGGGTGGGGGATCGGACTTCACACACTGCACAGCACACAGCAGGTATGGTGTAATCTGAGACCTGAATGGATAGAATGGACACATACCCCTACACAGTCTTATAATTAAACATGCACAGCTGAAACTGTCAATCACAGGCTGTCAGAAATGACTCCTGCAGATAGAGGAAGGAAACAGCAGGCATAGGTTGCACTAACGTCTTTGGATTTAGGCAAGCACACACTATAGAAGGACATGCTTTGTTCCTTTTTCCTATTTCCAAAGGTTTACAACCACTAAAAGTGCTGTTGTAGGTGCTGACTGCTCTGCTGCCTGACCAAAAAAATTTCTCCTCCCGACAACCACCACGACTAACTGCTTTCTAACTAGCTGCAGCCAATCTGACTCACGGTGTAGTTGTAACATGAGAAAGAAACCATCAATCACATAAAACACTGGAGTATCCTAGAGAGCACAAAAAAGTTATAGTGGAACATTAGCAACCAATAAGATTCCAGATGTTAGGCACAAAGCAATCAATAAAACTGGCATCTGACTGGTTGCCACGGCCCAGCAACATCACTACTCCTGGATATAACCAGGGTGGATAAAAATCAATGATTTTTTTAAAAAAAAATCAAAAAAAAAAAAAAAAAAAAAAAAAAAAAAAAAAAATCGGATTTTTTTAAATAAAATGCTTTTTGAGGAAAATATATTACCATCCAAAGGTTACTCCATCATGAAATAAAGATTCATTTTTTAATTATGTAGAATAAGGCTGTATATGTTAAATTTTTTTGGTAAATAAATTCCATGAATCCATTCACAATGTCATGCTCTTCCAGAGGTTTTTGTAAGATTATTGGGCAGTTTCTCTCCCTACAAGATATTATCACAGATGATTGGTTTACTTTTGCAGTTCTCAAAACTGAATTTGACTCAGCGGAGATCACATGCCTCTTCTTCACAGCAAAAATGTTATAACATGAACAGAGTTAAGAAAAAGACCTTCATCCTAACTTCTACAAACCTATGAATACAGAATCAACCCCTTCACTGCTAAGTTTCAAGAAGTTCAGTGAATAGAATAGAAACAATATTTCTCTGATTATTTGGAGTGGAATAGATCTGCACAAGAAGAAAGTGAAACTAAGGCTACGTTCACACTAGCCTTGTGTGCAGGCGGCAGAGAGGCGTTTGGAAAGCGTTTTTACCGCTTCCCAAACGCCTCTGCCAATTCTGCACATTACAGCACATGGTGCTGTTCTAACGGGAGCGTTTGCGTCGCGTCACGTCGCGGCAAAAAGGACGCCTCTGGACGAGTCAGGAGGCTTTGAAGCCTCCTATTCTTGTCTATGGTGCCGCTCCGCAAACGCCCGGCCGGCGTTTGTGGTGCGGTTGCGACGCGGTTGCGGGGCGTTTGTGGGGCGGTAACACCACTCAAACTGCATTATAGGCGTTTGTGGGGCGTTATTAACGCTCGGCAAACGCCTAGCAACCGCTGCTAAACCGCGCATGCGGCGTTTGCGGAGCGTTTGCCGAGCGTTAATAACGCTCTGCAAACGCCGGACCAACGCTTGCCAAACGCTATAGGGGCGTTTGGCAAGCGTTGGCAAAACAGCCTAGTGTGAACGAGCCCTAAGTGTGAGGGGGAAGGGGCTGACAGTCTAAGTTTCTTAAAATATATATATTTTGTTTAGCCAAATTAGTTAACAAACATGGATGTTTAAGCAAATCACATATCCTGGAATGTTATTGTTTCAGTTGAATAAATCTATTTAAATTGTTATTATTAAGGTAATGATTATATTTCTCCTTCCTAAATACAACAGAAAAGTTGTCCAAATATGAATGATTAACCTATTAAACTGGGGATAAAAAAACTAATATGAAAAGTTGTTATTCAAAAAAAATCTTCATCTACTTGTATATTAAAGTTATACCAGCAAGAATTAGTCTTTATGTAGAAAACTAGGATTTAAATCAAGCCTTACTGACTAAGGATTTAAATCGTGATTTAAATCAGTTTGATTTAAATCCAATCCACCCTGCATATAACCAAGGACCAATGTCTGTAAAAGCCAGGAAGCACATCTGATAGCTCGCTGGTCTCGGATAACGTGGCTCAACTTGTGGAGTTTTACTGCCCCCTCCCCAGCTTCACGTCAATGAGCCCTAAATGTAATGAATCCACCAGGTGCACAGCCAACTGACAAATGTAATTGGTACACAATTACGGGTGACAACGCACATTTTCAACAAGTAAATTTTACCTCCTCATCCATGAAATCCTCCGGCCGACTGGCTTGTTGTTCGGACCTTCCCTGACGAGACGATACGAACGTGGAAGGGCTCCATCCTAACACAAGGATGACAATAAATTAGTAACTTCCAGAACTCATGTGATCTCAGTACAGAGCGATCTGGCACAATTTCATTCAAGTTTGTAACATCTGACATCTGGGGCATATGAGGCAGAGATGTGAAGAACTGGTGTGACCCGGTGACTGCTGGGCATGTTGGAAAATTTGTGAAAAAAAACGACGACCAATTTTCGACTCAATGATGGTCAAATCGTACGATCGTTTTTCCGGAAAGAATATGCGCATGAGCCGTGACCTGGAAGGAACAGAAGTTTCGCCTGCTATATGGGATGAACTTTAGGACTTGGTCAGCCGATTTTTGAAATCATTGATGGCACCATTGGATTACCGAGCAAACTACGTTTTTGATTTTTGGACGAAATTCGAACCATGTATGGCCTGCATAAGTCCTGGAGCACTAGAAATGGGCAAAGTGACAGTTTTCTGGCCTTTTTATTCTTCAAATAATTCATTCTGCTGCCTGCACTGTTTCAGAATCTTCCAAACTACAAACAATACTTGAGACACGAAGAAGGGGGGAGACCTCTGAGCCCCCAGAATGCATTGCATGTGTTAGGTCTTGTTAGAGATTAACAACAGTATCAAAATATTTTGCTGGAGCTCTCACTGGACTTTATATTCCAGGTTTTCTTTGCTGCCGATGTACCACCAAGGGAAGATTCATACTATTTGCTGTAACTACCATTATCACCTGGAGTCAAATTTTGAGGGAAAACTGAAAATTTACAGTTTATTCGTCACTTATAATGCCAACCACAATGGTCCACTTTATCTAAACAAAAAAAAAAAAATTCCCAAGGAACTCTTGGGGTTGTCAGTCCAAAAGGAAAGCCGGCACAACGGCATGTATCAGCGTTATGGTGAGTTTTATGTAATGCAGAGTAGTACAGCCACAGACAGGTCAACATGTTTAGGCCATTGTGGACGGCTTTCCTTTTCGACTGACTGCTTGTGGGTTTCAGCACCTTTTTCCATAGCATCCCCCCCAAAGAAAAAAAAAAAAGCCCTCAGGGTGAGCAGATGTACAACGCCGGGGAATAAGGCTGCATGCACACTGGCTTTAAGACAAAAAAAAAAAAAACACATCATTTGGGGGTCGCTTCCTGATGGTGACACCATATCACTTGGGGGCCACTTCCTGATGGTGGCACCATGTCATTTGGGGGTCGCTTCCCGATGGTGACACCATATCACTTGGGGGCCGTTTCCCGATGGTGGCACCACGTTATTTGGGGTTCGCTTCCTGATGGTGGCACCACGTTATTTGGGGGTCGCTTCCTGATGGTGGCACCACGTTATTTGGGGGTCGCTTCCTGATGGTGGCACTATGTCATTTGGGGGTCGCTTCCCGATGGTGACACCATATCACTTGGGGGTCGCTTCCCGATGGTGACACCATATCACTTGGGGGTCGCTTCCCGATGGTGACACCATATCACTTGGGGACCGCTTCCTGGTGGTGGCACCACGTTATTTGGGGGTTGCTTCCTGATGGTGGCACATCATTTGGGGGTCACTTCCTGATGTCGACACGTCACTTGGGGGCCACTTCCTGATGGCGACACCATATCACTTGGGGGCCACTTCCTGATGGCGACACCATATCACTTGGGGGCCACTTCCTGATGGCGACACCATATCACTTGGGGGCCACTTCCTGATGGCGACACCATATCACTTGGGGGCCACTTCCTGATGGCGACACCATATCACTTGGGGGCCACTTCCTGATGGCGACACCATATCACTTGGGGGCCACTTCCTGATGGCGACACCATATCACTTGGGTGCCACTCCCTGATGGCGACACCATATCACTTGGGGGCCACTCCCTGATGGCGACACCATATCACTTGGGGGCCACTCCCTGATGGCGACACCATATCACTTGGGGGCCACTCCCTGTTGGCGACACCATATCACTTGGGGGCCACTTCCTGATGGCGACACCATATCACTTGGGGGCCACTTCCTGATGGCGACACCATATCACTTGGGGGCCGCTTCCTGATGGTGGCACCATGTTATTTGAGGGTCGCTTCCTGATGGTGGCACCATCTCATTTGAGGGTCGCTTCCTGATGGTGGCACCATCTCATTTGAGGGTCGCTTCCTGATGGTGGCACCATCTCATTTGAGGGTCGCTTCCTGATGGTGGCACCATCTCATTTGAGGGTCGCTTCCTGATGGTGGCACCATCTCATTTGAGGGTCGCTTCCTGATGGTGGCACCATCTCATTTGAGGGTCGCTTCCTGATGGTGGCACCATCTCATTTGGGGGTTGCTTCCTGATGTTGGGGCTATTTCATTTGGGGGTAGCTTCCTGATAGCGATGCCACATCACTTGGGGGTCGCTTCCCTATGCCTCGTCACTTGTGAGAACGCTACGCAGTAAGTAAAAGGAAACATACTAATTACGCCAAGTGTGTGGATGTTTACGTTGAGGAATAAAAGTATTGCCCACAACTTACAGTGTTCCCCCTTCCCCAGGGAATGTTTGGGATTGCACCACTTCACTTGGATTGCTACCCAAAGGCTGCACAAGACCTCTGATTGCTCCCGCTCGCTCACTAAGCCCTGGTTCACATTAGTGCAGCTTCCTGAAATCGCACCACTTCAGAGCGATTTCAAAGCCACAGATCATCGCGATCTGGAGGTTCGATTTAATTGCAGCTTGCATTAATTCATTTAATATTATTATGAGGGTCACTTCCTGATGATGGCACCATGTCATTTGGGGGTCGCTTCCTGATGGTGGCACCATGTCATTTGGGGGTCGCTTCCTGATGGCGACACGTGTATTTGGAGGGCGCTTTCTGATGACAACACCATATCACTTGGGGGCCACTTCCCGATGGTGGCATGTCATCTGGTGGTCGATTCCTCATGGTGGCACCATGTTATTTGAGGGTCGATTCCTCATGGTGGCACCATGTCATTTGGGGGTCGCTTCCTGATGGTGGCACCATGTCATCTGGGGGTCGCTTCCTGATGGTGGCACCATGTCATCTGGGGGCCGCTTCCTGATGGCGGCACCATGTCATCTGGGGGCTGCTTCCTGATGGCGGCACCATGTCATCTGGGGGCTGCTTCCTGATGGCGGCACCATGTCATTTGGGGGCTGCTTCCTGATGGCGGCACCATGTCATTTGGGGGCTGCTTCCTGATGGCGGCACCATGTCATTTGGGGGCTGCTTCCTGATGGCGGCACCATGTCATTTGGGGGCTGCTTCCTGATGGCGGCACCATGTCATTTGGGGGCTGCTTCCTGATGGCGGCACCATGTCATTTGGGGGCTGCTTCCTGATGGCGGCACCATGTCATTTGGGGGCTGCTTCCTGATGGCGGCACCATGTCATCTGGGGGCTGCTTCCTGATGGTGGCACCATGTCATTTGGGGGCTGCTTCCTGATGGTGGCACCATGTCATTTGGGGGCTGCTTCCTGATGGCGGCACCATGTCATTTGGGGGCTGCTTCCTGATGGTGGCACCATGTCATCTGGGGGCTGCTTCCTGATGGTGGCACCATGTCATTTGGGGGCTGCTTCCTGATGGTGGCACCATGTCATTTGGGGGCTGCTTCCTGATGGTGGCAACATCTCATTTGGGGGTCGCTTCCTGATGGTGGCACCATCTCATTTGGGGGTCGCTTCCTGATGGTGGCACCATGTCATTTGGGGGTCGCTTCCTGATGGTTGTACCATGTCATTTGGGGGTCGCTTCCTGATGGTGGCACCATGTCATTTGGGGGTCGCTTCCTGATGGTGGCACCATCTCATTTGGGGATCGCTTCCTGATGGTGGCACCATCTCATTTGGGGATCGCTTCCTGATGGTGGCACCATGTCATTTGGGGGCTGCTTCCTGATGGTGGCACCATGTCATCTGGGGGTCGTTTCCTGATGGTGGCACCATGTCATTTAGGGGCCGCTTCCTGATGGTGGCACCATGTTATTTGAGGGTCGCTTCCTGATGGTGGCACCATCTCATTTGGGGGTCGCTTCCTGATGGTGGCTCCATCTCATTTGGGGGTCGCTTCCTCATAGCGATGCCACATCACTTGGGGGTCGCATTCCTATGCCTCGTCACTTGTGCGGACGCTACGCAGTAAGTAAAAGGAAACATACTAATTACGCCAAGTGTGTGGATGTTTATGTTGAGGAATAAAAGTATCACCCACAACTTACATGGTGTTCCCCCTTCCCCAGGGAATGTTTGGGATTGCACCACTTCCCTTGGATTGCTGCCCAAAGGCTGCACATGACCCCTGCTCGCTCACTAAGCCCTGGTTCACTTTAGTGCAGCTTCCTGAAATCGCACCACTTCAGAGCAATTTCAAAGCCGAAGATCAGCGCGATCTGGATGTGCGATTTCATTGCAGCTTGCAACTTCATTTAATGGAAGTCAATGGAAGCCGCAATGAAACCGCAGAAAAGTAGTGCAGGAACCTTTTTCTGAATCGTAGCGATTAATACGGTTGCCGCAAATGGGGTGCGACTTGTCATGCGATTTTTAACCGGCAAATCGCATTGGAGTGAACCAGGGCAGAGTGAGGGGGACCAATCGCATCACGCCAAGTGCGCGGTCCATCCCCCTGCCTACGACAAAAAAAAAAAAAAAAAAGAAAAGGTCCTCGGGGTCAGCAGAGGTGCACGTCCGGTAATAAGGGCATCGCCCCAACGCTTACCTTCCTTGGACCCCACAGTATTATAGAAACCGGCAGAAAAGCCGCCAGTGAAGGCGCCATGAAACCGCTTGTACCGCCCCTTCTCATCCTTCACCGTCTGCTCCTGCAGGGGGGTCGGCTTCTTGGGCTGCTCTCCTGTAAAAGAAAAAACATTTCTGCATGAGGAGTGAGACTTCTGCAGACAGGGGACAACAAGGAGTTGGATAGAAGTTCCTGTCAACAGCTTAGAACTACAAGTCCCGGCATACCCTGCGAGCAGCAGCCTGCAGTCTATCAAGCGGGCGCTCGCAATGCATGCTGGGATTTGTAGTCCTGACGGAGCCACGCGGCTCTAAGTTACCTGACACTCTTTTACCCCCCAGTAAAGCCCCTCTAGAGGTGCTCACATATACCAGGGCGCCTCCAACGTTCCTCTTACCCTCCTCGTACAGCTCCAACGGCTTCCCATAGGTGACAAAATCCTCATCGCTATCGCTGTCCCCCGCCGCCATCTTTGCACATCGAGTACGGGCCGGGAGGGAACAAAACTCCACCACGTGACCAGCAGGCGCCGCCTCCTCCCTGCAGAGGCTCGTGTAGGCTGACCGGGTGTTTCCATGGTGACGCCAGTCAGGCGCCTCTACCGTGCACAGCCCTGTCTGTTGTGTACAAGGGAAGGCCTGCTGGGACTTGTAGTCCAACACTGGGCCTGCATTATACAACAGATCCCAGCCATTGGATTATAAACCACATTTTTATGTAGAAGTGTTTTTATTTGGATACAAATACATTGTTGGAACCGCAATACTTCTTCATGTCAAATATAATAGCAGACTGGAATTCCTCTTCTTTTTCTTCTTCTTCTTCTTCCCCTTCTTCTTCTTCTTCTTCTTTTTTCTTCTTCTTTTTCATCTTCTCCTTCTACTTCTTCTGCTTCTTTTTCTTTTTCTTCTTCTACTTCTTCTTTTCTTCTTCTTTTCTTCTTCTTCTTCTATTTTTTTCTTCTCTTTCTTCTTCTTTTTCTGCTACTTCTTTTCTTCTAATTCTTCTTCTTTTACTTCTTCTTTTCTTCTACTTCTTCTTCTACTTCTCTTTCTTCTTCTTCTACTTCTATTTCCTCTTCTTTTTCTTCTTCTTCTCTTTCTTCTTCTTTTTCTTCTTCCTCTTCTTCTTTTTCTTCTTCTTTTTCTTTTTCTTCTCTTTCTTCTTCTTCTTTTTCTTCTTCCTCTTCTTCTTTTTCTTCTTCTTCTTCTTCTTCTCTTTCTTCTTCTTCTTTTTCTTCTTTTTTCCTCTTCCTCTTCTTTTTTCTTCTTTTTCTACTTTCTCTTCTTCTTCTTTTTCTTCTTCTTTTTCTTTTTCATCTTCTCTTTCTACTTCTTCATCTTTTTCTTCTTCTTTTTCTTCTTCTTCTCCTTTTCCTCTTCTTGCAGGTCACGGCTCATGTGCAGATTTTTTATCGGTAAAACGATCAGCCAATTTGCCCATCATTGCTGGGAAAATCGGCCGATTGTCAAAATTCAAAATTCCAACTTTACTGATTAAAAAAAATGTGCCAAAACCCCAAAAAACGGCCTTCCAATTAACCCACTAATGGTGCGAAAATCGGCCGATTTTTTTTTTTTCGGCTGAAAAATCTTCCGATTTTCGACCCGTCTATGGCCTGCATTATTACTAAAGCCCCACACACGAGAATATCGGACGAACAATCGTCCATTTTTTTTCACCTGCTAGTCTCTCATCGGTATTGAAAGGTTACTTCAGATATGAGAATTATCATACGAAAGAAAAGAATTTTGAAACCGATGCCATGTATTTGTATTGTATTCTCAGACAACTGATGTATTGAATAAATGAAAATCGTACAATCTGGTATCGAACGGGAAAAGTTTTCGCATTTGTCCCTTCGGATAGCGTTGCGATCGGCTCTCGAAAGCTGTATACTAACGATCCGATTATCGGACAATCGGTCCTCATATGAAAATTTTCAGACGAATTTCTTTTTTGTGTGTACGGGGCCTACAATATAAAACAACAAATTTCCATGCAAAACAATGTACCGCTACAAATATTGTCATAATCAGACCGCCAGGGAGGTTGATGCACAAATTCACGTAAATGCGCGTTTGGCGTTTTTCTACCTAAAAGCTCCTCTCCTGAACACAATTTTGGTGCCTTCAGATTTCTGCCCCTAAACGCCCCTGCCTGTAAACGCACACGTGTGCAGGGATACATAGGCCAACATAAAGGGGCATTTGGCGGCAGAAGAAAAAAGTCCAACGCCTAGAGAGGTGGCATTTTTGATGTCCTGCGTCCTGTAGTGTTTTTATGAAATACATTTTCATTTACTCGATGCAACGATTTGGCAAGTACCGTCTCCTGCACCAGGGCAGCCAGTCTGGCTCGGATTCACCAGCACGGGTCCAAGCAATACCAGTTCAGCCCAGCACAGATATTTTGTCAATAATGAAGATACAAATCACAGCCAGCGCTAATTAATCCCGCGCTACTGGGAGAATCCGGTTACACATCGTCTGCCACGACCTAAGTCCTCCTGCACACGGGACATTTTTACTGCAGCTGTTTTTGGCTTTCGACATTTTTTTCTACAGCCCCCAGCATGTTATCCTATATGTCCATACACACATAGACTGGAATCAACGTTTTTTGGCTGGGAGGTTTCTTGGCTGGAAAAAAAAAAAACAGGACTAGTGGGCTACTAGAGGAGTTTTTTTAGCTGTACAAACGCTCTAACGTTGAAAAACATGGCAAAACGAGGTAAATTGCATGTTTCAAACTTTTTTTGACCTAAAAAATATATTTTTTGGTGAAAATAACAATAAAAAACACTAAAAAATGCAAATGTGAAAAAACGCAAAAAAAAGTCATTAAATACAAAAACGCTGGACATTTTTTTGACCTAAAAAAAATTTAAAAAATGCAAAAGCCAAAAAACACAGCTAAACGCCGTTAAACGCTAATACAAAAACACTAAAAAATGCAAACGTGAAAAAACGCAAAAAATGCCATTAAATACAAAAACGCCGGATATTTTTTTGACCTAAAAAAACCTATTAAAAAACGCTAAAAAATGCAAATCCCTCAGGCCTGGAAGAGTCAGTTTGTCCCTCTTCAGGGGGTGCGGGATCGTATGACCACTATGATGCTCAACGAACAGATGTCGAGTATCCGCAACGACTCCCAGCGTAAATTTTTGAAAATATGGGAGCCGTGGTTGCAATATGCCCTTCCCTCACTCCCCCCGGCTAGTCTGGGGATGTAATGGTGTTTGGTATTGGCGCTCTTGAATCCCTGCTCTTTGCCCCCCTTTTTTTTTTTTTTTTTTTATCTCTCTCTCTCTGTTTTTGGTGTGACTGGACAGCTGCATTTAGTTGTTATAATCAGTTACATTAATGTTTTGTAACTTATGTGCCATTGATAGCCCCTGCGTGGGCGTACCTTTTGCCCTGTTGGCATTAGAGCATTGTTTTTCCCTTTTTTTTATTTTGCATTTTGTTTATCTGTGCAATTGATAGCCCCTGCGTGGGCGTGTTTTATTGCCTCTGTTTATACTGTTTAAAAAAATGTAATAAAAACCATTGAAATAGAAAAATGCAAAAAGCCAAAAAAAGCAGCAAAACGCCGTTAAACGCTAATACAAAAACACTAAAAAATGCTGAAAAACTCACGTTTCTATAAGTTCGGAAACACAGTTCTGGCGTGTACAGCACTGAATGAGGTGCTGGGGTTTGTTGGAGGGTCTACTGATGCCGGCTCATAGGGGATCTATTGTCACTGGGGGGATCATTTTTTTTAGCTGTAAAAAAGCTCTAACGCTGAAAAATATGGTAAAACGCCGCAAACCGGTGTTTTTGGATGTTCTTTGACCCCCCCAAATTTTTTTTCAGTAAAAAAAATGCAAAAAAAACACAAATGCAGAAAAATGCTGCTAAACGCAGCAATACGCCGCTAAACACTAATGCGAAAAAAAAGCTGAAAAACTCATGTTTTTAGCGTGAATTTACACAGTTAACATTACCAGCGTTATCAAAACGCCCCGTGTGCATGGAGCCTAAAAATGCTCTGACGCTGAATAACGTGGTACACCGCGGTAAATCGCTGCAAACCAGCGTTTTTGGAAGTTTTTTTTTTACTAAAAGGTAAAAAAAACCTCTAAAAACACAAAAGGGAAAAACGCCGCTAAACGCTAATACAAAAATGCTAAAAAACACTGAAAAACTCACGTTTTTAACATGACTTTACACAGCTAATGTTACCAGCGTTATTAAAACGCCCCGTGTGCGTGGAGCCTAAAAATGCTCTAATGCTGAAAAACGTTGAAAAACGTGATAAACTGTGGTAAATCACAGCAAACCAGTGTTTTTGGAAGTTTTTTTAACTAAAAGGTAAAAAAAAAAAAACCTCTAAAAACGCAAACGCAAAAAAAGCCGCTAAACGCTAATACAAAAACGCTAAAAACCACTGAAAAACTCACGTTTTTAACATGACTTTACACAGCTAACATTACCAGCATTATCAAAATGCCCCGTGTGCATAGAGACTAAAAATGCTCTAACGCTGAAAAATGCATCAAAACGCGGTAAACGGCAGTAACTCACGCCGAAACAGCGTTTTTTTGACTTTTTTTGACTAAAAGGTCAAAAAAACTCTAAAAACCGTGAAAAATGCAAATGCAAAAAAACTCAGCTAAAACGCAAATACAAAAAAACTAAAAAAACGTTGAAAAACTGACATTTTTAAAGTGACTTTACACAGCTAATGTTACCAGCGTTATTAAAACGCCCCGTGTGCATGGATCCTAAAACGCTCTAATGCTGAAAAACGCAGCAAAACACAGTAAACCGCAGTAAAGCGTGCCGAACCAGTGTTTTTGGACTTTTTTTTACTAAAAGGTAAAAAAAAACCTCTAAAAATGCAAATGTGAAAAAACGCCACTAAACGCTAATACAAACGCTAATACAAAAATGCTAAAAAACAATGAAAAAATCACGTGACTTTACACAGCTAATGTTACCAGCGTTATTAAAACGCCCCGTGTGCATGGAGCCTAAAAATGCTCTAATGCTGAAAAATGTAAATCGTGCCGAACCAGTGTTTTTGGATTTTTTTTTATTAAAAGGTAAACAAAAACCTCTAAAAACTCAAATGTGAAAAAACGCCACTAAACACTAATACAAAAACACTAAAAAAACACTGAAAAACACACAGCTAAAACTTTACACAGGTCAAAAAAACTCTAAAAAACGTGAAAAATGCAAATGCGAAAATACTCAGCTAAACGCTAATACAAAAAACCTAAAAACCGTTGAAAAACTGACATTTTTAAAGTGACTTTACGCAGATAATGTTACAAGCGTTATTAAAATGCCCCGTGTGCATGGATCCTAAAACGCTCTAATGCTGAAAAACGCAGCAAAACACGGTAAAATGCAGTAAATCGCACCGAACCAGTGTTTTTAGACTTTTTTTTACTAAAAGGTAAAAAAAACCCTCTAAAAAT